AAAGGTCCATCACACTGAAGAAGGAAGATGAATTCAAGGCATCTAAGGAGTCATCTTGTCTTGGAATAGGGTGAGAGTCCCTTATCGTAATAGCGTTGAGCTTCCGATAGTCGATACAGAAACGAAAGGTGTTGTCTTTCTTGCGGACCAGTACAATAGGACTTGACCACGGGCTGTGGCTCTCCTCGATTATGTTTCTGTCAAGCAAGTCATCCACTTGGCGTTGAATCTCAACCTTAGTAGCAGGTGATGTACGGTACGCCCGTTGTCGTATTGGAGTCTCAGTACTCGTGATGATGCGATGATAAGCTAAGTGTGTGCTACCAATATCATCAGAAGAGGTGCTGAACACGTCAGAATAATCCGAAAGTACCTGTTCTGCTCGTCGATACTGTTCCTGTGTAAGATCAGAAGAAGGGAGAAGGTCAGTGACCTTGTATGGAGCACTGGATGCTGAAGCCACTACTGGTTCAATCAGTTGGTATTCTTCTTGGTGCTTGCCTGTCACAGAATGAAATTGGCCCAAATGTGAATCCGCTGGGAGTTGAACACTGTCTCCTGATGGATTAATGAGACAGACCATGATATGTCCATTCTGAACAGTACATAAGGACCTCGCAGCAGCAGCAGAAAGATGCTCTCGAAGTTGGGGCTCAAACATTCCCTCGTAACCATCTGGAGTAAAACCATGTTGAGAAAATATTCGAGCTTGAACATTAATCTCACACATCGGTGGAATGGTTACACTGTCAACTAGTAATGCATTGCATCGTAGTGGGGTTGCAGCTGCCTTGTCTACCAATGGAATTGACGTTCCAGGCATGTCAAAAGTTGCTGTCACTGATGATATAGAAGCCTGATGTTGCCAAAAGAAATCCCAACCTATGATGAGTGAGTGACTTACATTTCTTGCCACATGGAATTGATGCTGAACGCTTCTGTTGCCAAGATGGAGGGAGAGTGATGCAAGTCCCACTATGTCAATGCTCTCTCTTGTTACAGAAGTCGCTGCGTAGAGGATAGTCTGAATAGGTCCCCGTTGAGTATTGGGTATATCAGACCAAAGTTGATGGCTGATGAGTGAAATGAAAGAACCGGTATCAAGGCAGGCCATGGTGTAATTGGACTCCACGATGACCGGGATGTAAGGAAGAATCTCAGTCTTGGGTTGAACTCGGCCTTGCACATTAATTGGAGCAGGTGGAGGTGGAGAAGTTGGTGGTCGCCCCTTGTCACCAACTAGTAGCGGTTTTCCTGATCTGTGCAAGGGTGTGCAGCAAGAAAATCAAAGATGGCGAAGGTGAATCAAAATTTCTGGGTAGAACACAGAAACACCGCTGCCACCAGTGTAAACTAATAAAATAACCTCTTGCCAATCAATCATACACCAATCTTCCAAATCACTGCCCAACTCACAAGTCCTCTCTCCTACTATAAAATCTCTCCTACCTCATGCCCACAGAGCTCTAAAAATAACACGTCTGACCCAGTATAAGTCCTGTCCAGCTCTGTCTCAGTTTTATTTAACCCAGGCTGTACATGTGGCTCCATGCAAATTATATTCAAATATAGCACAATAGAATTTAAGGATAAAACTGAATATTTATAAGAACAAGGAGAAGAGAACCAATGATAAGTAAGAAGTGGAAATATGCAAATGAGAAGAGAACATACCACCTGTTCTAGCTTGAAGAGTTGGTATGTGGTGGAGATGAATGGTTATGTATGTTCTTCTTTTTGTAGCTGAGCTACAATGCATTAAATTAATACCCAGCACAATATATATATATATATATATATATAGCTCCCATGTTCTTCCAAAACCCTTCAAAAAATTTTTCATGGTGTGATAACAAATATGAATTTGATTTCTAAGGAATCCTGAGCAAAAGTTTCAGAATTTTATTTTTTATAATCATCATTGTGTTTGGTATAGTCAACAGATACCGCTTGAAATTACTTCTAATGTTCAATGTAGTAATTTTATCATTTATACATGGCCTAATTGGGTTTGAATGTCTTTATTTCAGCTTACGTCTCAAACTTCAGCTGCTATGAATGCCAAGGTATAGTGGGAGAAGTGACAAACTGCGGCGAAAGTTTGGTAGCAGAAGAGGATATAGCTGTTAGTGATACGATCCCTTGCAATAACGTTTGTACAGTAAGTCAATATTACTGAAGACTTTTAAAAAAATCACCTCCAGAGCACTTTCAATACCATTTTGCATTGTCTATAGACGAATTTGGACGGATGCGTGAAATAGATACTTATTAAAACAATTAAATGAGGATGAAGAATTAAAGAAAAAAACTATAAAATAGAAATTAAATATTTTTTAATCATCTTAGATAGTTTCCTCCTACATCAAATGTTTGTAAGCTAGGCTCATTGGGAACTATTTGCACAAATTCTCATCTCTTAGGTATTAATATGTATTAAACAAATTTCACGGTAACAACTGCACATGTCTATCATTGTGTCAGATTTCCATCTAATATCACTATGTTGAATGTTAATCAAACAGAAAGCGGTGACTTACAAGATGGATCAGAAGATCTATGTGACGCGGAACTGTTCCCAGTCATGTGATCCAGGCTGCAAGATGCGAGCAGGGACGGGAACGTGCTGGTACTGTTGCCACGGCGATCTGTGCAACGGAGCACGCAAGACAACAGCAACGTCCCTCCTCTCGCTGGTCTTCTTGAGTCTTGGCATTTATATTAACATTTGATGATACCTTGCTTGTAAGTGCCCATTCAGACACGACGTAGTAAACCGCTTCAAAGAAAGCACCACGGAAAAATCGTACGAGACATAAACACAGTACGCATCATACTGTATCTTATAATAATATATGTATCTATGAGTAAGAATAGAGGACATTGTTGCTCATAGCTATGCTGTTTGTATCCTCAAAATTGTCAAAAATCAAAATAGTACCTCTTGCCATTTATTTGCATTAAAAAAAATTGAAGTGATTTACTTTGTCGTGTGTGAAAGGGGCTATTAAGAATTTACGTTCTTTCCTCTCTTGTACAAAAGCAGTTGATTTCCATCCATTCCTTCATTGTGTAAAATACATTTAGAAGCATTCCACACTGCCGCCAATATTTGTCATTTGTGTGCTTTCTGCCAAACTTTTAGTCTATGACTAATGACAGTAGCTGAAATATATACATGTACATTTCTATGCCACTTTTTGTAGTGTACTAGAATATCATTTGGACATTTCCATTTCCATTTTTAAAATGCTGTAAAAATGTAAAACTATTACATGTGTATCTATGTTTCATTATGAGAACATATCTGGTGTTCATTTCACATTGGCCAGGGTGAATTTATTGAAGATTATATAGGTGGAGCACAGTGGAAATGAATTTTAAGATTCATGGTAAACTTCATGATTAAAATGGTAAAGAAGGATCTACCAAAGTTTGATTCCACCCACCATTATATTACAAAGACTATTTCAGGATGCTGCTACATTTATGATATCAATTATATACTTCTCATAGGCATAACTGTCTATAATAATTGACATCATGTTTCAAGATGGTGTAATATACATGTAAAATCTAAATTGACTGAAATTGCCAGTATATTTTTCACCAATAGTTACAAAAATGCATATTTTATGTTTTATACATTACACTCTGCATGTTATTTGTATTTCACTTTCAGATGTGAATATTTTGAGATTGTGTTGCACATATTGCAAAAAGAGAAAGCAATAATAATGGCCAAAGCCTTTTACACACCATGTAAATATACAAATTCCATTATTGTACAATCAAGAACTTTCAGCATGCATGAATTTTAAAAAGTGGCCCAAAGATTCAAAAGTTTCACACTGCTAACTGTATAATGAATCATAACATTGACATTTTTTCTATTTTCTTTTTGTGTGCTGAAAGTTTTTGATTTTACAGTATTGAAAAATGAAGTCAAGATTATTTTTTTTGTAACTGTATATAGATATGAATAGGATTTAGAACTATATTTTCAAAAATGTGTTCTAGAATCGTAAAATTGTCTTCCTAATGTATACCCACAAGTATGTGTGTGTGAGTGTGTGCATGCATGGTCTGTTTCAGTGTGTTTACTATCATCCATGTACTAATCAGACATGCCCAGTCTGAATAGTGTAAGTTTTGCTGTAGATGTGTGTGAGTAATGAAATAAATGTCTTAAGCATCTTATTGAGGTCAATTTGAATACGGGTAAATTGCAGTTCTCCAAACTCTTTATTCAATTTTGGTTTGAGCAGCACTGTACCTGATTTGTGCTTTGATTATCAGTTTTAAAAACTTCCATGTGTACGTTTCTACCAATCCTCAAGTTCTCCCAACATGTGAAACTGAATTTGACACTCTTTTGTCGCATAAAATTTGCATTTTTGCGGATACATCAAGTGTTCAAGAAATGCTTTTTAATGATGTAGTGCCATATTTATTGTTTAATTTTCAATTGAGTAGATAATCCATATCATTTATTATAGAAGTGTATATTTATATATAGCATTTACAAACAACAATGGACATGTACAGAATCCCCCCCCCCCCCCCTCCCTTCAGACTAGCATAAAAAACAACGTCACTTGGCAACCATATTTGCCTATATTATTTAGTTTCATTTGGACACTATATGAAGCTGTTGTATTACATGCTTGTCAATGGTGCTTGTGCATATCCATCCATGAGATTGCAAAGGGTACATCTTTATGTTGTTGATCATGAACTGCTATGTTCTCCAAACTGTGCCCTTTATTTCGACCACCATTTTAAAATAAATGTTTACCTATGCTTTTATTGACAAACTGTTTTATCATAGATGAGTTTTGCAGTATCATTTTTAGGAGGAAACAAGCAAATTTGTAAATAGACAAATGCACATCACCAAAGTTTATTATATGCTTTCTTTTATTTATAAGCGCAGAGGCACATGGTATCATGGAAGATAGACACACACAAAAAGTGAATTCATCAAAATCATAAAAAAATGCAAATCAACTAAATATATTTTACATCACATTAATTTCAGAATAAAAGCATATCAAATATACATACTTGAATGCTACATCATATACTTTTTATTTACCAGACAAAAGTGAATTTGATAAACCATATATAACAATATGTCTAAAATTGTCTATTCAATGTTAAAAAATACAATGTTAAAAAATAATGCAATGTTTGTTAACGAAAATGTGTATGGAAGAGAATTTGCATCGAATCAACTGGTATACTGCAACTTCACAACATGCAATTTGAAATACTAGTACTTGATAATACCCTCCATAATATATGTTACATTGTTTGAGAAATGTATGTTTTCTTGTTCGATTTTAGAATGTTGAGATGAATATCAATGCAATAAATTTTGACTTTAGAAGACTAGTATGACATGTTCAAATCGCTTGTTTTGATTTCACTGGTTCTACCGGTGGTCATAAGAAGCTTTCCTCCTTTACGGTACATGTAAACTTCATCTTGACTATAGGTTTTGGGGATGTTGGGGGGGGGGGGGAAGCAACTTTCAGAATTGGAACAAAATACATGCACATGTATTAGTAGCACTACATGTATCAGGGTTCCTAATTATGAAAATGTTTTAAACTGGAATTAGGACGATAAATAGAATTTGAAACTCTATCAAAGAGAAAAAATTGTATTTAGTTTGCATGAAATGCTTGGAACCAAGAATTTTGATTACTCAGACCTACAATCGATTGCTTCAAACTAAACTATTTCATAAAAAATGCACCATCACCTTAGAAAATAGCAGTATAAACATCAAATTTGCTTGGTGTTAGAGATTTTCTATAAAATGGTGTTGCATTCGTTTATCTAGTGTCCCACATGTTCATATTGTTTAATATTGGTGCATGAATCCTTTCAGTTTTCTAAGTTGTTTACATCTTGTTTACATTTCTACGTGTTACTATCAACCTTGTAATTAATGAGGATTCTTTATTAACTACTAAGCAACTATTATTCTCAGCTGAAGACAGGTTCTATTACAAAACATGCATGTTTCCATAATTATATTAAGCACATTCAATATGTTCATGTGAGCTTGTGAATTACACTCTGAAAACAACATAAAGGAGAAGAAAAAAAGATCCCCCAAATCAAATCCAAGATTTTCATTCCTTTCTATTTTTCTTGTTTTCTAAATCTGACAGTCGCACTTATCAGCGCCATATCATATTCAAGGAGGGACACAATGTGACACGCACAGTTAACCCGCAGTGCCACTTATAAGGCACAAAGAAAGGGAAAAGGGTAAAATTCCAAGGTTCTTGGGATTCTAAAGTGTGCAGGCAAGTATTGAATCCAATGACCAGGGTAGTAGTACATCTGTAAAGCGCTTAGAGACATTTGTATTAAGCGCTATATAAAAGCGGAATATCATTGTTATTTTGTGTCTAAGAATCAAGAAAAATAATTTTAAGTCATCTCTGGACAAAGCCTCGCGGAATTGTTTTTATCAATCATTTATAATTCCATCACGGATCTATATAATCTTAATTTGAATCCACCTAATTCTAAGATACAAATTCAATGCATGCACTCAAAAAATGTCTTACAATGTATTGTGAAGTATGGCTGCTTTTTACAAGCAAAGGCACTTTTATACAAATTGCATATTTGTTTATTCTATTGCATTGCATGTTCATTTCATCACAATTCCATAAAAAGACTTATTCAAATTTTGAAAACTATATGTAAATTTAAGCTTTCATCTTTTCCTTTAAAAAGCAGCAACTTCATTTTACATCCTTTATTTTTAATTTATATTCTTCAATGCAACTTTCTCAGAACTTGCAACAGTTACGCTTATTTTGCTAATAGATTATCTAATATGCCGGCGCATTTTGTGTATTGACTTTGATTATCCAAGCCCATCACTCTTTGGCATAGGGGATGGAATAATATTCACCATCATTGTATACAAACATTCGTCATATCTCATGCTGTATTTGAAATGATTTAAACTTCAATAATAGTGTTACTACTTCTTTTTTTACTCAAATTTGCATTGTATGAAGGAAATATAACCGGAGCATACCTGTGATGTGTGTAAATGAGTCACAATCATGACGAACCTGGGCCCTGTGTCCCAAAGCTCGTTATCACTGAAAGATGCTATACAATTATGACTCCATACATAGCCAATCAAATGTGGCCACCTGCCTTTAGCCATCAGGTGTATTGCCTCCCATTCAGAAGAAATACACATGGCAGAACCCGCCACAAAAGGCCACCTGTCTACAGTGGCCACCTTTCCTTGCTCTTGTGGGTGGCCTTAACCAGATGACTACCAAATCATCTCATTCCCATGGGCTTAGGGCAGGAGACATCCAGTACCAGTGGACAATGGGTTAATAGACTGACAGGTTTGACTGTGTCAATTTTCGTAACAGGTTTTTGATGACAAATTCATGAAACAGGGCCCTGGGCACCGTTTCATAAAACTTGATACCAATAACAAGTTACAAGCTACTGTTATAAGCTACTGAAATCATGGCATGTGATTGGCTAAGAGCAATTTGTCATAGAAATTTAGCATTTGTTATAGATAAAAGGTTTTACTTTTAATACCTATGCATCAGGAGAAGAACAGAAAGAGGCAAAAATGGGTGTGGTTCTCGGTATGGATTGAGAGCTAGATGTTGATAAGCTGACCGACGGATCCAGAAGGTGACGTTGCCGATGGTGACGGAGCGTATGGAGATGGGGGTAGGAGAATAGAGTCGTCCTCATCTGTAGAAAGACAGAATTTGGAGGAAAAAAAGTTTTAGTAATGACTGGGAAAAACTTTAAAAAACGTAGCCACAATTTCAACTATCATTGATATATTTCAGGTCTATCTCAATATTCATATTATTGAAAAAAAACTTCATATTTTGCAGATTATCTTGGATTTTTAAGGAGAATGGACACCATTAGGGTATCCATCAAATTAAAGATGCTATTAATCACTGAAAGTACATTTAATTTTTATAACTAAAAGGGTTTTGCATAATGTGTATTCTCTTTTTGACTCTTTATTCCCCATAGATCAAAACTTTGACTTCCATATTTTTTGTATATGGTGGTCCCCTGCTTGTTCCATTGGTCATGCAAAACCAGTAAAGAGTTCAAGCTTTCCACTACATATTGAAATTCAAACCATTATTTTGTGTACTATATTAGGGGAGAAGCCCCTCTTGTTTACTTCATTAAAAATAGTATCTTAAAACAGATATATGGTAAATTAAGAAGTGCAACTTAAGAAGTGCTCTTTTATTAAAGATGTATTCTCTTACCTAAGATGCCAAAGTCAATGGTGGTTTTAGGAGTGGTCTGAAGCAATGGACTCCGAGATGAAGGCGAAGCCTTGTAGCTGCTCAAAGGTGTCTTTGAACCAGGGGTTTTCAGTCTTAAACTGGACATATCCCTCAGGAAAGATGCATCATTTGCAGAAAATGGGCTCTCATCACCGAAAGAGAGACCAGAGATATTGGCTGGGAGCGAGAACCGTGAACTGTCATTTAAGTGAGGGGTCCGATGTAACGTACCCTTGGCTGTTGAATTGGGTGCTGAGCCAAATGATGTGTCCGCCTGACGACTCAATCTACTTCTGTTCTTGGTCAGTTTAGGGGTTGCTGATGGTGATACTAAAGGTGATATATGGACCAGAAGATCTTCCAATCTATTTGAAGTGTCCAAGAAGAATGCCTCTTGTCCATTCTCAAAGGTATTGTCCAGCGCAAAGGGCTTGTCATTGGGGGTGAATCTACCATTTGATTTACTGTGATCTGGTGAGGGACTCGGAGGAGTATTACTTGACGTAGTGCTACTCGGTGTCAGGGAAAATTCAGTAGGTATTTGTTCATTTAATATTGGATGGCTCACTTCTGGCTCACACTGAAGTGCCGGGCTCAAGAAAATACCATTTGAGGCAAATGAATCTCCATTCAGTGCTGAATCATCCAAGTCATGTTGATATCTCAAGCGACTTCTACTCCCATTCAGCTTGGGGGTTGCTGAAGGCGTCACTAACGGTGACACATGCACCAGAAGATCTTCCAACCGATCTGATGCGTCTAGGAGAAAATCATCTGGTCCATTCTCTGAGGTGTCGTCCAGAGAAAAGAGCTTGTCAAGGGGGCTTTTAAGTTCCATTCCACCATTCACTCTATGGTGTTCGGGGGAAGGACTGAGGTAATCCTCAGCTATCGCACCACCACCATTTCCTTGGAATGTTCTATCTGGTGTTTGTCCATTGCGGGTAAGGTGGGTCAATTCTTGCCCAGACTGAAGAGTCGGATTGGAAGCGAACACATCTCCGTTCATTGAAGAGTCATTCAGGTCACTCCCAAAACTATGCGTACTGATGTTACGCTCATCAACATGATCAGAGAAAGTGACCGACTTCTGAGAACCGTTACTGGTCCGTTGTTTGACAGAAGACAATTGCTGCGATGACATGGTATCCAGACTTGCCACATCATCACTCTCAGGGCTCCTGGTACTGCCAGCTGTGGAAGGCAGCACAAGGGGACTGGCTGGATGCTGTGCTCGTGTGGAGCTGGAATGATTATTAACTGGTGTAGTGACTGGAGAGTGTTTCAGCTTGTCTTTGGTCACAAAGGCGCTTTGATCTGAGGGAAGGAGACAAAATATGGTTGATCCAAGAACAAACATTGTAACAAATATTAAGTTTCATCCCACATGGCATTTTGAGTAAAAAAATACAAGATTTACCTCTATAAATATTCTAATAACTTGCTCCAAACAAGATACAGTCAAACCTGCTTTAGTGACCACCTGTCTATAACAAGCACATTTTTTTTCCCCTTGAAAATGGTTTCTTATTGAAACATGTACTAAAGGAACCTGTCTACAAAGACCACTTTTGGTGTTTCCCTTGGGCGGTCGCTGTAGACAGGTTTGACTGTATATAAATACCAAACCAATAAGATACGATGCACTTTACCAAGTCCTTTTTAGATATGATGAAGAAAATCACAGCCCTTTCTTTCTATGCACACAATCAGCATCATTACACTAGTGTCGTAATTAAGATTAGACTTTCAAAAGTTTTATTCGCATACAATGAAACTTGTATCATTGGTTGGACTACTCACTGATTAGGGGTTAATGGGTTTTTATGACTGACTGACCTCAAACTTGACAGCATACTTTAATCTACCCCTAATCAAGGACGAATGCACAAATCTGAATACATGCATGTTACACAACATGTAGCTCAGAATCTGCATATTTTACAAATATTGAAAATGGAAGTGGATATCTTGTGACCTTGTCTAGCTTTTAAATTGTCTCACCAAGGACAGAAAGAGGATCTTCAATGCCTAAAGGTAGAGGAGATTCAGAATGACCAGGTGACAAAGATAATGGAGATTCCATCAATCCTTTGAACTCTGGAGATCCGCTCATAGCACCAACCACTGAATCAGCAATCTTTAAAATATAAACAAGAAATTAAGAAAACATAAATGTTTACAATCATTTCAGATATATTAGTATTGCAAAATACAGTATTTCAAGAAAATACAAACTAGCTTTAAAATAAGAAATAACCACAGATGCATAACCAACTTTAAAATGTCTTTGCCTTTGTGAGAAAGGGGGGGGGGGAGTACAAATTATTCTCTTAAACAAATAAGAACTTGAATTTACAGTGTTGTTATATGAGAAATCAGTGAACTTTTTGAAAATAGGAATAATAGCTTCAACAAATAATATACACAATAGAAAGGATAGAAAGCTTGTAATTTTGCCTACTATCCATGAATCATTAACAAATTCAAGGCCTTTTATATCATAGCAAAATTGTACAAAAATTAATACACATTCAAATTTTACTGAAAGGTTGCTCTTCATAATCCCTGAAGATTTCCACAGGATTTTCTAACATAGCAACATGAGATATATACAAGGTAGATTCCATGCATAAAGATGCTATTACACAAAACAGAGTATTCAATACATAGGTTGTCATTCATACAAATTTTAGTTTCATTTTCTTTTAATTACCTGATCAATAAGGTTTTGATGGGCTCTAGTCACAGATGTGCTGGTATGGTCATCCTGGGGTCGACTGCTGACAGGTGTTTTTGTATGATGGGAAGGGGTGGAAGTCGACCTGTCTCCACCTTTAGATGACCCAGGCTGTACAGGTCACAAAGCATGACCACAAAATGAAGAAAATGTTTGGTTGGATTAAAAAAGTTGAACAAAATAATAAATAGGAACAACCGATGAGCGGTTGGAGGCCTGTAGCATCAATCCACATGATTAATCATTCATAATGACACAAAGTATGCCATTTACATTTTTTAATGTCATCTGGGATGCTTGATTGTTCATTAAAGTTGTTATCAATAACGATTCAAATAACAAGTTTGCCTCTAACCCATCAAATAAAACAATTTCAGTAGCTAATAACAGTTATTGCATCTTGTCATTGATAACAAATTTAATGAAACAGGGACCGTTTCTCTTTCTTAAACATTAGAGAAGTTGGAAATCACATACTAAAATTCATTGTTGTCATGACTTCTACTTTGAACCTCTGATACACTAAAAGCCTCAGTAGTGTGAACACTCCTACCTTTCGCGCTGTCTTTCTGGTTGATGGTGTTCTGACATTCTTGGTTTTCTGAAGTGCAGGTGTTCTGCTTTGTTTGGTGACCTTTCTAGACTGGGTCTTGACCTCTCTCTTTTCATGATGGGGGATGAACTTGGTGGTTGAATCTTCAAGCTAAAATCAAATGAAGTCAACCCATAATTACATAGAAAATCATGTCATTTTTACAAGAGCCATTTATTACTCACTGGAAAAAACAAAACAGCAACAGTCATACCATCTCACATGAATTAAGACATTTTATATTTTTATTTGATTAGACTTTTTTTTCTCTCTTTATGATCATTTTCAAAGTTACTTTACCAACTGATTACAAAGCAATAAGCAACAATGATTATCAAAGTAATTATGTTATATCATTAACACAAATGAATCATAAAGAAGGATTGTCACATCAGCAGAATTTGATGACAATCCTTTTTTAACATCGTTTATCCTTCAATACGTCATAAAGAAATGCAATACACGCCCCAACCCTATAGTTGATGAAATAGAACCCCTGGGAAAATGTTGAAACACCCATTTTACCTTAAGTGTGGATTCTTCTTCACTCTGTGACTGTTCTTGTGTTCTAGCAGGTGCCGACTGCACTCTCCGTCTGTCTAGTTTCTGCTGGGCTGCTTTGGCAGGGGCAGGCTTGGGCAACTTAGAGGGCCTGAAAGGGTACGACATATTTCTAAAAACTGAGCATTGGGATCTTTTGACAAGCAATATTCATAATAAATGAATTCACATATATGAATCCTTCTCTGAATATTCTAATAAAAAGACATTTCTTTCAACTATTTTGAACAATTTGTTGTTTCTTCTTAATCAACATTTTGTATGCATCAATTGTTGATTGGTTTTCTTGATTCGTCCTCAAATGCTGCAAACATTTCAAACATTTATAATAATAATATTAATAGCATTTTCCTACATAGCACATAGGCCTACATGTAACACTTGAAAGTAAAAGTTCCTATGCATGAAACATTGGTACATACTACCGATAAATAACTTTACTTAACACCATTACAATTATACAATATAAAAAAATCATTGAAACATGTCATCATAAAGCCCCTTTGTTATAAATTAATTATTGCTTTATTGCAACCTAAACCTGTGGTTGGATTTCAAATTTTCAAAAATTACAGATAGATAACAATGACAGAGAAACAGAGAATCTGATACATAGATGTAGACATATGAATACCAATGTACTACAATCAAATCATTACACATTAGCAAATAAATCAATATAAGCTCATGAGTACAACATTTCATAATGATTGTATTTAACATCAGAAGTAATTAGGGTAGATATGTCTATAAATTTAGCAGTTTATAATTAAATTTATAATAATAATGGATAAAAGGATGAGTTCCTACCTATTGATCTGCTCTCTAAGAAGTCTGAGTGAGCTGGTTGGAGTCCCTTGAGTAAGGCTGCTCTGTTTATACACCGCTTGGTTCACGTTATTCACTAGCGATGATACAGCTTCAGGTGTATTCACTTCAAGAAGACATAATGAAAATCAACAATCAACAAAATGATGGAGATGAAATGTATTCATAAGCCCCATCCCCTCCCAAATAAATTCACGACAAACTTGATGGCAAGGCTTTGCATACATGTATGTAGTACATATGACTTAAACAAGTCAAAGATAGCCAAAGTCAACACATTTCAATAATTTCTGTCAAGATCGACTTACGTGAGGTTATCTGTTTAAGCCAGTAAGCCTACTAAATAAACTCAACAAATTGTTTCCTTTTACGAATTAATAAAAAAGTAGCCCCCCGAAATAAAATAGCAGAGGTGTCATTACTGGCCTGGGCTGTACTCTCAGGCTCAAAGGACATAGAGAGGGGGCAGGAGGGGGCAAAGGTGGGGAGAGGGGATGAAGCTGAGACCGATGGAAAGAAAGGGGGAGGGGGGGGGGGAGGTGTTCCTACCTGTAGGTGATGCTTTCCAGAAGGCTTTATTCATTGGTCTAGTAGGGGTGTCATCACTGGCCTGGGCTGCACTAACAGGCTCAAAGGATACAGGAGGGGTCGACGGTAACAACCCTAGACCATCACCTAAAAACTGGGGGGGACAAATAAACAACTTGATATAACAGATACACGATCAACTATCTCATAAAAGTTGTCAATGGTAAGATAAAAGATGGGTGAAATTTTCTTTAAGGTTGGCTGTATCTATTTGTGCTTTGACTGAGTTGCCAGTGGGAGGATTTCTGGATCAAAATGACGTCAACAAACACATATAACTTCTTTATTCTTTCTATGATTTGTCACAAGCTTTCACTCAATTGTTTTTCTTATTTAACTGCTTCCACTCTGGCAAAGTTTAAAAAGATGAAATTCTTCCTTAATGATTTCAAGCCATATTCTTAGAGTGAATGTCATGTTTTAATAGCACATGTGTTTTTGTTTAGGTGAAATATAATCATACATGTATCTTTCCACTAGACAATTACCTTTAAACTTGAAGTTAGAAATGATATTAAATTTGAATTATGCAACATTATACAAGGGAAACTAGAAAAGCTCATTAAGTTACTTACATGACTGGTATGTGTGTTTGGAGCCCTCTGCCTAGTGGGTGCTTCATAGCCTGGACGTAGGTGTCTCTTTAGTGATCCAATGGAAGACTTGACAGAAGGAAGCACTTCTTGACTCATGGAAGACCTATCATTCAAAGACACAACTTACTGTTTAGGAGCGATGCAGAGAATTTCAAGGAGATAAACAAATGGTAACTGATGAAGAAACACAACTCAAAGCTGTACCCTCTTGATATATAGAAGACCTGTTTAAATCAATTGCATGGATTTGAAGGGACAGGGGGTGTTTCACAAAGATCCTAAGTTGAACTTATCTCTAAGTTGGACTTAACAATTATGGAAAGCCGTTCGCATCTTTGAAAATATTTTGTATAAGTTATTTTAAAAGGCATAAAATGTTGTTTCAAATCATTCATATTTTCTATTATCATGGGAGATTTCATGTTCTTGATGGGGAATTTATAAAAAGTCTAAAATATTTGAATTTTTGCTTTTGAATATATTTTATTTTAAGGCTACAAATGGCTCTCCGTAATTGTTAAGTCCAACTTAGAGTTAAGTTTGACTTAGAATCTTTGTGAAGCACCCCCTGGTCAAACAATCTTGTAAAAGGGATTAAAAATAGCTCAACTTTCAAACAGTTGAGGGATGGGTGGATGTGACTTTAGAGCCAAGGCTTCCACATCTTTTCATACCAACTTCATACAACAATACTTATACCATGCGTCTCTCACTGTGCAGTGTCAAAATGCATTGCAGCCATACATCAATGTTCGTTTATCTGATACACAATAATACCCAATTCTTTTCACTCGCTAGGGATGAAATTCATATATACAGTACAACAGTCAGACTGTTTCTTGAAACTCAAATATTGATTGATCTCTGGATGAGAATATAGAAATTGCTGACGTCTTAAAGCCCGTCTGCACTAGTTTGGCCAGGGGGATTAGACCTCCCTGCAAGGTCACTGACAGGTGGTTATCTCATCAAATCAGCTCTCAATTGACATAAGAAAGAGGGGATCATGGGGGACCAACAGGCACCGATTAGGCATTGTTTGCTATAAAGAGGGCGTAAGTAGCTATAAGTAGTGCAGTGGGGCTTTAAGATTGGAAGCTTGCTGACCTTAACGCTTGGAGGTTGGTGAGATGAGCATGATGGGTGTGCACCTGAGTAACGATCTCAGGCTGGAGGCCTTCATAGTCTGCCATCGGAGCTGAGGAGGCATGGAGGAAAAACAGACACATTGAGTATGTGAGAGAGAGAGAGAGAGAGAGAGGGGGAGAGATATGGAGGGAGAGAGAGGGAGAGATGGAGAGAGAGAGGGAGGGAGAGAGATGGGGTGGGACAAGAGAGAGAGAGAGAGAGAGAGAGAGAGAGAGGAGAGAAAGATACAAAATCATTCATGTTTTTTCTTTTGGGGGGGGGGCATTTTTATAAGTTAGCTTTTTTTTCTTTTTAAACCTCATTTTTGTATAATTAAATGTATTGCTCCATGAGTTTAGTTGTTTTTATTTTTCTAATTTACTTCATTTGTGTATTTTCTTTTTAATTATCATCTTGTGGCAGACAAATGTCCATATAATACTTTGGACTGTTTTAACATCATATAAGTGTTAGATTCATGTCGACCAGTAAATTAATAAAACACCAATCCATTACCTTGATGCATTTTCTCTAGGTAGAGTCTTAGTGAGAGATTCCACAGTTGGATGAGAGAAAGCAAGTTGAGCTTCCCGCTTTCATAAGTGTTGTCAATGTTCCGCTATAATACAAAGCAAAGGTACATCAAAAGAGAGAAACAGATTTCAATTAAATGCTTTGTTTAATTACTTAGTGACTGATGGCACAAAAATTGAAATTATGACAAATTATTGGTTAATGACTATGTTAGGCTGGTTGCTTTTGCATAGAGTTAATTGTCATAACAAACTTAAATTTGCAGAGAAGTAAAGAATATGTTGATGTTTACCAATGTTTCTATTTAACTTAAATTTGCACAGAAGTAAAGATTATGTTGATTTTTACCAATGTTCTATTTAACGTTGTTTCCGCTATTTAATTTTCTGAATACGGTCCTAGAGCTTTTGGATCTCACCTTCTCCAGTTCTTTATGGCATTCTCTGAGCAGCATCTCGGGGACCTGGACCCTGAGTTCAGCACCATCCAACCTGTATCGGTTGGCTGCTCCTTCCAAGATGGACTCTACCACCTCAAGCTCCTGGCGCTGGGAGGCATGACAGGTCGCCACCGTCTTCCACATCTCCCTCACCTGAAGAAAAAAGAAAGAAAAGATTGTTGTCATAGAATAATGAATCACAATTCAATTTCAATTTCAAATATTTCCACAGATTCATAAAAGACTATATAAATTACAATCAAATATAAAAGCATTAAAACAAAAGATAAACCTGCAGAGGGGGTGATAAAAAATCACAGAGGTTTATCGGGGATCATCCCCTGCATAAAATGACAATATTAAAATACAATCATTTTGTTACTTAAACAATAAACACATTAAACAAAAACATATACAAATATTAAAAGCAAATCTATGTGTGGGGTGAGTAGTAGTGGGTGGTGGTACCAATAATCACAATATATAGAGGAAATAAATGATATAAAGAGAAAAAAAAATAGAAATAGTGAGAAACACCATACAAACTAAATCTTAAGAGTTGGATCACAAGAGATTTTTTTTTTACACAAGGTCCTCTTGCGAGAAATGTAACCCCCAAATCAAACACAACTCGATCTTCAACCAACATGTATCTCACTTCAAGTGCTTGCTTGTGTTCGACTCTGGGAGTTGTATTGAATTGAAAGTATTCATGCAAGTATGCAAGAGGTCTAGTATACACATTTTATGATTATTTCTCAAGCAACAGTTCCTCTTCATGACCTGGAAGATTGCCATCAGTTTAGCCACCGTAGCAACAGGATATGCATGTAAGTCAGCTGCCATCCATTGACTTGAAACTTTATGTGGAATATGTTTAAATTTTTTTTTAAAGAGTACTCATTCCTATTCTATTTTTATTTTCTTGCTATTATGATGTCATTACAAGTGAAGAAATACTTAAATGTCAAAATCCAAAGCACTACTTACTGTAGAAATTCTATTTTTACTCTCTGTTCAAAAGAACTGCTCCTCATTACGAAAACTGATTTTACAAACAACGCAGTTTGAATGTAAAAAAAAAAAAAATACCATTTTAAAATATGAAAAGAAAATGCAATCATGAAAATTGCAAAGGAGAGAAAGAGAAAAACAACAAACAAAACCTGCCTTTTGAACTTTCTGTGTTCTTGTCACTGCCATCGTGTCCCATTCCGCATCAAGCAGGGCTCCTGATCTACGACGTCTGGTGGCTGAAGGGCTCCCTCTAGTCTTGGCCTGTGCCATCAGACGCGCTTCCTCCTGTTTGATTTGAGCCTCTAGCTCACGGATCTCCTTTCCTACACGTCTGTACTCCCCCACAAGCTCACTGGGGATGCAAAGTGAAAATTAGTGTTACATTTCGGCCATGCATCCTATAGGTTTCAAATTATATTCCAAAACAGTACTGACAATGATCTGCATATGAAACTGGCTAAAGCAGTAAACAATGATGCATCGATCCCTCAAAAAAATCACAATATGTAACTGTACAAAGTACCGGCTCACTGCACATACAAAGTGAAAATTAGTGTTACATTTTTTTATGTACTGACAATGATCTGTATATGAAACTGGCTAAAAGCATGTTAACAATGGTGCATCAATCCATCAAAATATCCCAATATGTAACTGTACTACAAAGGGCTTGATCATGGAGTACACAATGAATACACAAGCAATGTCAGACACCAAATACCAAATCCAATTACAAGATAGTCCTTTATTAGTGCAAATTCAATGCTTCATGTTATTTCTGACATCTATGAAACAGACATTTATAGTTTACCGGTAACCTGCAAAACAACAACATAAAAACCACACAAACAAAATTCAGGTACACAACTAAACTTACACAAAATATGCAAATTACCTCTTTAAAAAAAAACATCCAAAAGAAAGAGATACAAATCACTTAGGTGAAATTAAAATTGTATGTTGTTTGTTTGTTTGTTTGTTTGTTTATTTACCTTGAATAGGAACTCCATTGTTCCTGGAGGAGAAGATCTTTCTGAAGATGGGAGAGAAAGGATCTCCTATGTCTCACACAGCAAGCCTCTAAGGCACGGCCGATCTGCTCACCAAACTCCGCATCCTTGGAGGGTAGTTGAGGGTAGAGGAGGAGGTCCCTTTCTTTCACACCTGAAGAATGAAATAGGCATGCAAGTTGAAAGGTAAACGGGCGATGACACAAACATTATCAATTCTCATTTTACTGTAATGGGCATTCAGAATTTACATTTTAATAGCATAAAGCCATACTAACATTATAGTCCATACTTTCTTATCAAATACAAATTTTTGTTTAAATAAGATACTTCAAAATGCAGTAAAGAATTACTCACTTTAAAAAGTTCAAAAATCATTTCAGTCAAAAATTCAAAAATGTAAGTGGTAAAAACACTCTGAGAAATGGGTTATTAATCAAACAATGCATTTTGCGAAGAAAGAATAAAGAAAATAATATAACACTTGCAAAACCTTTCACAAAAGCATTCAATGTATTGGTTATTTTTAAAGTGCACATATCCATCATGCAAGGTGCTCAAGGCGCTCCAATAAGACCCTGGTTCTACTAAGCTACCATTTCGGGTGCTCACAGCATTCAAGGAATTGCTTACTACCAGTACCCATTAAACACCTGGGTGGAGAGTGGCAAATATAGATTTATGTTTTGCCACAGGACATTAGTGCCACAGTGGGACTTGAACCGTGAACCATGTGATTCAGAATCAGACGACGTATCCACTAGACCACACGGCACCTCTGCAGTAATCACAGGCAACTCTGAATCTGCTTTGTCTGCTTCATTGGTTTTATGTAATATGTAGTTTACTTTAAAGCCGCACTGCACTACTTATGGCTACTTGCGCCCTCTATATAGCAAACAATGCCTAATCAGTGCATGTAGGTCCCCCATGTTCCCCTTTATCTTATGTTAAGTGAGAGCTGATTTGATGAAATAACCAACTGTCAGTGACCTTGCAGGGAGGTCTAATCCCCCCTGGCCAAACTCATACAGACGGGCTTTAATGAGAAATGCATGAGATCATACCTATCTCCTTCAGGATAACCTTGTGAACAACATAACGACTGAAATGCAGCAGGAATGTATAGAACTTGTCTCCTCCCGGGGACAGAAATAGAGATGGCACGATCCTTGGTAGGTTACAATCTTCCTCTTCCTGTAAGGAAAGAAAAAAAAAGATAAGCGATTGCATTGTGAACGATACAGTGTGGAATCGATCAGAAAAGGTTAATCATCTAGCATATAAGTATGGATGTGTACTGCAAGGTTCTGGAATCATCAAATGATAAGAAATTTGCCCAGTCTTGGTAAAGTTACAAGCACTGTACACAGAAATATGTATATGGGACCACACAAACATGGTGCATTAAACTCCGTCCCGATTTTGATGCTGTTACATGCCATATCTAGAATATTAAGGCATTTGAAGAGCCATGCTTTTTAGGGAACATTTTTTATCTGATGTTCTTTCACACTTGCATAATAACAATGATAACGCTCACAAATTATGTTGCACCTCTTCCTAGAACTCAACCTTCTCTTTAATCAAGGGAGCTATAGCTTATACCTTGCATGATTTCATTGACTCACTTCAGTTGCTTAACAACTTCCTGAAATAATGTTCATCTATATCTCAGCTACACATTAGACATCAAAGCATCACTTCCTTACATGGTTACATTTTACACTGATAGACAGTTAATTATGTGGGGAAAATTGAGATTTAGACTGCTTAAAGAAAGAAACATACATTACCTTGATCTCTGTCAGCCAATTATTAACTACTTTACGATAAGCCTGTTCCTGCTTCTTATCAGTGATGGGCCAGCAATACCTACACGAGGAACAAGGAAGAAGAAAATAAATACAATTAAAATCAAGAACATTAATAATAATAATAATAATATTATGATAATAATAATAATTATTTAGGATAATAAGAATCATTATTTAAGTACCATAGCATTTACAAAATAACAGAAAGTGAAGAAAAAAAACCATAAAAATAAACATAAAACATTCAGTTGTGCATGTGAACAGCAATTGTCATACTCAAGAGATGACAAGACCTGCATATTCAACTTCAGTAAATAAACAGGGTTGTCATTGCCATATTCACATTGCCTCGTTTTGTATCTCGTTATCACAAAGCTGAAGTGTTTTGACATCTCTTTATTGAAACAAGAACTGTTTGCTGTAGGATTTGTCATTTCTGAAATGGAATTGAGGAGACGTGGAAAAGTATTCATGTACAAAGTTGTTAAGAGAACTCACCGGAAGCGATCCTGAGCCATTGACAGATTCAGCTTTTCAAAGAGAAAGTGCATCACTACTTCAAAGCACTTCTTGTTGGGCACAGCAAACATATCCCTGAAGTGAGAAAAAAAGAACAAAAATGTCATGAAGTACATCCTGAATTACACAGAAGAAACATTAGATACATTAATATATCATTTTGTGAATCTCAATCTCAATTATTGAAGTTAATTATATAAAGTTAAAATCTACAATGAGAGTGACATCATTGTTTTAGGCTTGACTGATGATATGGGTGGTCTCTGTGGCCTGATCATTAAGTTGACTTGTTCATACCCTTCGGCACAAATATAAATGGAAATGGCAAAATAACACAGGAAAATTGAGTATCCGCTATAACATTCAGAAAGATCAATCTCAGTATTAAAAACACATTCAAACATCAAAATAGGAATCAATGTTACATTCATTTTGCAATATATATACAGAAAATAGAAAAGAACAGTTGGTGTGAATACATGTAGAGTAAAGGAGCCCGTTTTCGGCCACTTAAGACAAAATCCTATTTTTAGGACTCTTTACTTCCTATTTATTATCATTTCTTGTTCAAATCATGAAGCAAATATTATTATTATTTAAACAAAAAAAGAATCCCAGAAAAAAATCACGAATTGCCATGACAATATTCATTTCAATTTTCACTGTTTTGGAGCCAGTTATCGGCCGAGCGTTTCAGTTTACGGCCGCATGTACAAAGTCAATAGTGCGTTTCCGCGCTGATGTACAGCACAAGCGGGCGGAGCAGGTATCCCACGCCTGAGCTCCCTGGTGCTCGCCTGGCCGAAGACAGGCACAGCGGTGATCGGAAGTTGGAATCTGAATTAGACAGAGATATTGTGTGTGCGTCGCGGTGTGCGGCTGCATTGATTTAATACATGCGATGAGATACTTTTGAGCTTGCGACTAGCACAAAATCGGGCTCTAAATCTGAAAAATACTTGAAATAAAGCTCATTTTATGGTACCCATATTTCTTACAGACACGCGTAAGATACTCGATTTTTCAGATTTGGGTAGCGGGACCGGCGATTACATCGCTAAAATGTGATATTTTAGGATATATTTTCCATTGCAAATGTGGTTCTTCAGTGACACTGGCATGGTATGGTATGTGTGGGATATGTGTTATGCTATTATGCGATGTATTTTAGAGTGATTTTACCTTGCATCCAACCAATCGGCCGAAAACTTGAGCTGGCCGATTACCGGCTCCTTTACTCTATATTCATCTATGAATACAGCAGTATGTTTTGATACTTTTTTTTTTTTTTTTTTTAATTTAAATTTTATTCATCTTACTTTGTGAATGGCACATTGAACCTTCCTTCCATCTCACTTCTCTCAAAACCAAGCAAGAGGAGGTTGGTGAAGATCGCATCCCTCCGGTCCAGTGGCCCTTGAGGCCCTTGAGGGTGCGCCTCCCGAGGACGACTATTCTTCTTCTTCACACTCATGGTTAGACTGCTAAGATATCATCATAAGGAAACCTAAAGAAAGAGACAATAGTTAGGTTCACATGAGAGGCTGTCTGTTAACTTTAATTTTAGATTGTGGTTTTAGACTTAAAAGTTAAATGTTCTTTGTAGTTTGTAGTTAGGGACCATGTAGATGCCTTTACAAAAACTTAAGCCACAAGCAATCTTAAAGATAAAGACCAGTTAATGGTCATGCGATTGCATTGTGAAAGAAACATTGTGGAATCGATCAGAAAAGGTTAATCATCTAGCGTATTGGTGTGTACTGCAGCGAGGTTGTGGAATCATCAAAATCATAAGAAATTTGGCCCAGTCTTGGTAAAGTTGCAAGCACTGTACACAGAATGATGTATATGGGACAACGCGACACGTGCGCGATATCCAACAGGTCCAAATAGATATAATAATTTACCAAATATATTAGTAGACTCTAGAGTCTAGGCGGACTCTGTAAACAGCTGACACTGACACAGTGACAGACGCATTTCAGATTTTGGGTTTTGTTTACAATTAGTGAAATACAATTACAGTTCACACAGCTGGGTGTAGGTGCCAATTCAGGCTAGGTAATATTAATATCATATTTCATGTTATCACCTAGCATTAGCAAGAAATGTGCCTCTCTCGCGCACAGTCACATTCACAATCAGCTCAGCCTCAGGTACCGGTAACACTGCAAACAGAAGTCGAGGCAGAGCTCCCGATCCCTGTTAGCCTTAAGGGCTCTCTCGAAATGTTTTTTTAATGATATTATTCGAGAGAGCCTTAAACGGCTCCCATACCCCTGCACGGAGAGGCATGTAAACAAAACTCAAAAGTGGTCCAAAATCACACTTTCGCGCACCCGACCAATATTGGACAGTGGCTTTGATAAATTTTGTCCGAGTTTTGGTCTTAATTAGCGCTTTAATTTCAAAATCGGATCTAAAAATAACAAAATAAGAGCAATTTTCTTACCAGACCGATACAGCTCAGCTCCCTTTTCACGTGTACCGTGTGAATTCACGATGTCTACACAATGGTGATGACCTCTGACTGGCACTTCCGTAATTGTGGGTAAATTGTGCTGCTTCCGTATAATGCGCTGTATGAGTGTTATTCAGCGCATTATACGGAAGCAGCACATTTACGAAGTGCTAGTCAGAGGTCATCACCATTGTGTAGACATCGTGAATTCACACGGTACACGTGAAAAGGGAGCTGAGCTGTATCGGTCTGGTAAGAAAATTGCTCTTATTTTGTTATTTTTAGATCCGATTTTGAAATTAAAGCGCTAATTAAGACCAAAACTCGGACAAAATTTATCAAAGCCACTGTCCAATATTGGTCGGGTGCGCGAAAGTGTGATTTTGGACCACTTTTGAGTTTTGTTTACATGCCTCTCCGTGCAGGGGTATGGGAGCCGTTTAAGGCTCTCTCGAATAATATCATTAAAAAAACATTTCGAGAGAGCCCTTAAGGCTAATCCCTGTCATGTTATTTTTTTTTGCGGCACAGATTGGGGCTAAGTGCGTGTATGGGAAATTTTAGGGTTTGGGTTAGGGTTAGGGTTAGGGTTAAATCAAGACCTCTTTAAAAAATAAAGCCCCAATCTGTGCCGCAGAAAAAAAATGACGCATCCCGATCTCTATTCCGCCCGGCCAGTTCGGGCATTCAGGCACATAGATCTACACGTCTGCTCTCGCGCGTTGGCAGACACCCATAAATAATCCATAGCCTAGACTACTCCGTTTCACGTCATACATTTTTACACAGTACACGACCATGTCACTGTAGCTCAATGACTTTAATTTTACAAATTGATACATATATGATCAAACAAACAAAAATAAAATGTCTAACTTACTAAAATATTACGGTAAGGCTGGAATAAAAGAGTAAACATTCAAAGTTCTTGACTGACTGACGTCGTTTATCGCTCCCGCCGTTTCCCTGTTTTTGTATTTGGGCGATCAATGAAGCTAAAAAAACGCCCAAAAGTTGTTATCATAAGCCACTTCTGACAACAATAAAGCATTGTGGGAGCGCAGAGAAATATTCCAAAAAAATATAGATCTATTGACCCATTACCATTTTTATGCGTTTCATCTTCTAAAAGTATATCATCTTATCTCTCTCTCTCTCTCTCTCTCTCTCTCTCTCTCTCTCTCTCTCTCGTCCTTTTCCCTCTATTCCACTCGATCTTTTCAGGCTCCATCCCCTCTTTTCTTTAATCCTTATCTTTGCCCGCGCCTTCAATCAAAATAATGATGGATTGGATCATTGGATTATTTAAACACCTTATTAATAATTTAGCCGGGCGGGGGCGGGCCACATATTGCAGTTACATAGGTCTATAATACAGTAACAAAATATTACAACACATAACAAAACAAAACCATCAAACATATAGATTGATAATGGAAGAAAAAAAGGCGGGGGTTGCAAATTTGGTTTGGACGGGGTGTGCCGCTAGCAAGCCTCGACTTGAACGCCTACCCATTTTAAGAGTCGTGTTGGGGGATTTTACTCGAAGTCAAGCCCATTTTTCCTAATTGTAAGAGATTTTTAGTAACTTTTAGTGAAAAAGTTACCCATTAATTAGCATGTTAGAGCGCGGCACACCCCGTATGATATGTGAGTACCCCTCCCCCGTAAAAAAAAAAAAGTATTAGTCTTTTAACCATACCCAACTTTCAGCTAAAATATTTTTTTTTTTATTAATACCAGATAAAATATCCCAAAAGGTCAGTAGTGCGTATTCCGTTTCCATTCTCTTTCCCATAAGTATTTCAGCATATCATGTACATAAATTGCTTTGTTTAATCACAATATGCACTATATAGTTGAGGGAGAGAGTTCAAATAACATTGCACACACATTTTATAAGCATGAACATAGGAGAACTAATTAGGCTTAATCACTTCCCGTTTATGGAAGAGTTACTGCTTCCATTTTTATTTCTAGAAGCACAATATTTTGCCAAGTTAGTGTGTGATGATATGAAGATTCAGAGCGAGCGAGCAAAGTGAGCAATTAAAAAAGTCAAGATTATTTTGTACTGCGACCAATTAGACTCTTGTCATTAGACAAAATGCCCAATCTTTTATGTCATGAAAATGACCCTTAATAAGTTCCTAATGAAATAAACTATAATGTGAACAAGCGATTTTTTTTGGAGGAAAATTGAGTGAAAAAATTACCTCGGTCGCTTTAAATTTAGAGAGGCTATATGATAAATCTATTGCGGAAGATATTAGTGGTGTTTTTTTTTTTTAAATCCCGTCATCATAAATGCAATTGCCTATATTGAGTTTTGAAAACTCCTTATTGTCTAATTCAAAATCATTCTTATATTCCATGAAGTTCAAAAGGAGCATGGGGTTTAACGGATCGGGTAGGTTGTAAGATAGATGCCTCTGTTAGCAGTTGAATATATACTTGTTGCCAGTTATAGACTCCAAGCTCTTAAAACAAGATGTTGCATTGCCCTTTAGATGCCAAAACATGGATCGGCCGGTCGAAAATCTTCTTTTTTTTCTAACTTTTTATGTCCCTCTTTGGGCTGATATTTCTCAGTTTTGAATTTGTGCATTCTTTAAGCATTGTTTTCTTCTTAAAAATCGGTTAAACAAAAATATTAAAAAACTTTTTTTTTTAAAGCCGAACGTTGATTTCAAGATGTGGGGGTCGGTCGCAAAAGAATATACCTAAAAACATTTTTTAAACGCCTTATACATGTCATTGAATACAGAGGCAAACGTTTGCAGTGACTCTGATGAATGCCTTTAATATAGAGAAGGGACATTATTTTGGTCGCCGTTAGAAACGAGCACGATTAAGTTCTAAAAGGGGCTCAGTTAAGTATTGTGCTCCAGTCCCCGAAACCTTACGGCTCCATTATCTTTTATTGTTGTGGTAGAATTAGCCACAGGGCCTAAACTCCGATTCTTTGAAACTATAAGCTATACATAGGAACAAAAGGGGGCACTTAAATTATCAAAGAGCAATCACTTATGTAAGAAACAAAAAGGGACACATACAAACAAATAAAAAAAAATGACAAGAAAAATAATAGGCATATGGGTGTGAGGGAGGGTTTGATGGCCGGGGGAGTGAAGTACGGGGTGAAGTAATTATGGCCTACAAGCACTGATCTCTACGATTTTTCCGTAGAGATCAGTGCCTACAAGTGAAATAATGAAGCAATATGCAAATTACAATTTACAAAGCACACATTATATGCACAAGGAGTGAAGGACTTATCTTGTTTCGTATCGTCCTGTGTTTCCTCATCTTTTCTTTTCATTGCATTTTCTACTTTATGATATTTTGATATTTTATGTGTTAGCTAGCCTAAATTACAAGCTATGCTTTCATAGGTTTCCTTCACAGTACAGCAAGCAATTATCTTCTCAGTCTCAATTGTGTACTTTTATTGCATTTTGTGTACCATGTTATGTATACTTCTCGTTTATTAATATTTTAATTAGAATGACTAGTCTTTGTAAAACAAAAAGTTTTGTAAATTTTATTTGCTGATATTGTGGAAAAAAAAATCAATGAAAAGGGTTAACCAAGCCAAGTTGGCGATTTATAAGCAGCACTTTGACGGCCTCCCAATTTTGAAGATTAAAAATGATTGATTCATTTTACATCAATTATAATTTTTTGATTCATTTAATGTAATACAATAATATTAATTTATTTTAAATTGCTTTTATTATATTAAAAAATTATGATTTGGTAATGAAAACAAATATTTGTATAGATTGTTTAAACCTACAATTGTAGAGGCTGTTTCGTAATCATTTCATAATCAAGATGGCAGCCTCCAGAGCATCCAACTTTTGTCTCCAAGTCGTCAAAATTAGTCAATTAAAACCATTTACTCAGTGCAGTGGTAAGCCTATCCTACTTTTATAAGTGCATTATTTCGTTAATTTATCGCGATTAACTTTTGAGAGAAGTATATTCCGAAAATACTAAGTTAGGTATCGGCTAGCGCGGCTTGCTGCTCTAAGGTAGTGCCCGCATGTACATTTTTGTGTAGGGTTTATAAAGCTGGAGCTGTAAGCCCAGCTCTCTCTGTTGTTGTCCCTCCGCTTTTCGGCATGCAGCACATCACCGATCACGCCGCAGTGCAGTGCATGCAGGCAGATTGCATTTATCTTTGCATGGCTTTATTAAGTTGAATTGTTTAGCATTTACGGCTTTTGTCTCGTGATAAGTTCCTTATTTAAAATGAATGAAATGATTTGTAATGCCTGGCGTCTAGACTAGACTATTAGCTATTGTGAGTGAACTAATTACAAAAGTCTTTGAAGTTTGATTAATTCTGATTTGTTTATGACTTAGACTAGAGTTAGATCGTGCCCTATGGCTATGGTCTATGACTATTTTGGAGAATGGTAAAAAGTGCAAACAAATTGGAGACTGTTATAGAGAGTGGAGAATGTTGAAAAGTGCAAACAAGCTGAAGAGAATGAAAACGCTCTGGATTACTTCCTTAAAAAGAAGATTGAAACACAGAGAGCTAGTATGAAGTAGCTTAGGAAGAGAATTTTTAATCCACATGACTTTCAATTTACTTTTCAAAAAGATCAATCATTTATATGAATTTTTACATCTCTAATGTTATCTTATTAGTAACTGCTGCAAGACAAATGATATTCACAACACCAATCAGATGTGCATCAGCATCATCAAACGGTAACCAAGGAAACGGAGACCAATCTTCAGGGCGTGCCCCACTCAAAAAGCCATTCACTCCAGTGGGTAAACATGACGACCACATGCCGGAGAAGCACAGGGACGCTGAGAAGGAAGCTTTAAAAGCATTCCCAGACGATGTCAATCCGGAGACGGGGGAGAAGGGAGGACCCAGGGGACCGGAACCAACTAGGTATGGGGACTGGGAGAGGAAAGGCAGATGCATTGATTTCTGATGGAACAATGAAAGATTAAAGATACAAGAACCGTCTGGCAGTTTTGATAAGGGAAGAGGATACAAGTTACTGATGAGAAGCAACCACATGGGGACTGAAAAACAAGACTGAAGCATTTATTTGTAATTATGAAGGACAAAAATTAAAGGGACATAATGAACCAGATACATGGATTGAAAGAGGAAATACAGATTTCTTGAATGTAATCGATAGAGGATGATGGAGGGAATGGAATCCAACTGGATACAGAGTGAGAGGGATGATGATTGATGAACACACCCTTTTCCTCATATTTGACCTCCTCTCTTTCATAGTTCCATGACATCTTCCATGTTTGGCCGAATGTCAAATGCACCTTCCTTGAGTACCTCAGATCATCATGCATGGTGATGACTTTAATATTTTGTTAACTTTATTCACTACGTATTCCTTATATTGTATATTTATGTTTAGTATATAACTAGGCAATGTGGCGTGCGCCTGTAATCCAGCTAACAGTGGAAGTTACAAACTGATTCAGCCGAGGACGCAGGTTCGAAACCGAGTCACGTCTTTCGGATGGTGATGTTTAAAGGTCCGTCCCCAGACATAAATAATCATATCTGATTGATACACGTCTGTAAAACCCCAATACACACACAGTATATGTGTGTACATGTACATGTATATAGCCGAAGTGTTTTCTATTAGATATAACTTATGTTTTTTTTTAATGATTACAACTTAAGTCCTACAAATAAAAGGATGTCACATGGCATTAAAAAAAAGGTTCAAGGGGGTGGGGTCAAAAGAAAGAAAGCAGGTAGTGGTAAGAATAAATAATAATTTGACTTTGCCTGATCCAGAACACACGTATTTCGCAAAATGGAGCATATATTAAGGTCTACCGGCAGCTTATTTTCAACCTTTTTAAGAGACAGTTTGAATCTTATTTCATAATACTATATCAGCATTGGTTAAATTAAACATCCATCTTGTCTAGATGTAAGATGCTAATGAATGTATTGTAAATCATGAACATCGCAATGTAAGATCTGTATTGCCCTTAACAAGTCTTTAGTTGGAGGTTATAATTTTTGCATAGGGTGAGAGATGGGTATCAACATGTTATTTTCAATTATGAATATTAAAGGTAATACAAAGTTTTAGGAAATTTTGAAAATTGGGTGGATATTGATTCTTTACAATTTTGATATATTTGGATGCCCCTGTTGATGTATTATAAGCACTAGAAAATTTAGCCCCTAAAACACTTCTGCTTTTGAGAAAAATTAAAAATTTACCGGTGCTCCCTGTAAATTTTGATAAATTTCAAATAGCGCCTATGGCCGTACAATGGTAGCTGAGACCATGAACATTTCAGAATATGTAGTTGTGATATGATTTCCAAACGGGAATAGCTAACCGGTCGATTTAGTCAAGAAACATTGGTTTATAGCTTAATTAATATCTTGACCTTGAGAGGGAGCTATACAATGTACAGAGTTTATTATTTAAAATTTCATAACTTTAGAGTTTAGACTCGATTTCAACAGCGACAACGATCACTGAATATTGTAGGGTAGCATATGCTTCCAATATATTCATTTGAACCAAATTCATGACCCCCTACCAAAACGTTGTATTACCTTTAAACCTTTGACTGTAGAATGTCATTTTGAATTTTTTTCTATGTTACATTGCAAATTCATCCCACATTTCATGAGTTTGAAAAACTTCAACTAAGGTTTTTATACTTGTGAAATGTAAGTGAATGTCACTTTGTGATAGTTATTTATTTTTGTCTGAACATAATTATTTGTTTTGTATAAAATATATATAATGCTCATGTTATTATACGGAATCTATCTCTGCACGAGCTTCATTTTTGATTTGGTAACTATTGCAGTGAGGATGTTGTCTACATTATCTCTCAAAGTGTGCTAGAGGTAGGCTAGAAAAGGCTAGAAATGGCTAGATTGCATTTGAACTGTACAAGAAAATACTGATACATGTCTAAATGAATATTGCAGAATAAGTCTTATTGGAGTCAATAAATGGACAATGAAAATATCGTAAAATCAAAAGGAATGAAGATTTTGTTTTTATTGATCATAGTAATATATATATTCATATAATATTTATTATATAGTAATGAATTATCAATAGATTTGTACAGTAATGACAAACAATTACATAATGATAACAATAGTATAACAATGAAACATTATATAAATTACAGTTAAAACCGACTGGAAATTTTCTTTCAAAACAGTTTAACAAGTTAAAGTAACCAAAAAAGTTAGAAATAGTGGAATATTGCTCTGAAGGAAACGAATCGTGACAAGATCTGAATATATGCAGTGTACATTACTGATTCACTAAATTCATATCAAATTCAAATTGAGAATTTCAATGTGAAAAGTTACAAAACTGGCTATATCTACATGTGAATTTACAAAAATTTGACTGTATATTCGTGATTTTCTTTTTTTTTTTCATTATTTCAAAAGGAATTCAAATGAATGGAAACAAATTTGAAATTCATAATTCACAGAATACAAGTTGATGACAAAATGTTCGATATTCCCTAATTACAAGTGATTGCATTAATGCAGTCCATTAATTTAATGTAACCAAATAAACAAATACGGGAACATCATTTCATATTGAGTTTATACTCTAAGTACAAAAAGACCCTAGTAGGATTACAAAATTTCTGAAGGCATAGAAATATAAAACAAATGTATGGGTATTGCAGTAATTATCATTAATCTCTAAGCAACAATGTGCAAATGGTCATCAATTTGAGTCTTCTAAACTCTTTAAAACATGGGCGTTACATACTAAATCCCAGTAGTTTTAATGGTTTTAGATGTCAGGGGATCGTTTTTCAATTTAATGTAAACCTTTATCAAAATTTCTTCACCTAGTATAGCAGAGGAAAGCAAGGTACATAGATGCCATGTACGTCCTTTTAACTCTTTATAAGCCAAACAAATAATCTCACTGTGCACATTGTAGTTAAAATGGAACAGATATACCAAAATATTTTTTTATCTATTTTCCAGTGAAACATAAATCTATACCAGTGTTAAAAGGGTTGTCATGGAGCTAAACAAGACCAGAAACGGGTAAATTAAAAAAAAAAAGTGTTGCACAAAGCAACCCTCAATAAGTGCCCATCGTTTCGTGCAAAATTGCACATGTGGTAAACAGGCCACTGTTTGGAGAGGGGCAGAAGGCAAGTGATTTGTTAAAATCCATGACATTACTATTTTGTGTCGATTGGTTTACCAAAGCCTTTCCATTTTCCTGGGTAAGAAATAGAATGCATTATTAAATGTTTAAAAATTATTCATCGTATTTCTAATGAGGAAAGAATGGTACATGTACATGTATGGAGTTACTTTATTTTTTCTATTGCTTCCTGTGCCATGAATTGAATGAAGATTATTTTTGCCTCTGTACGGACTCTGATATCAAGTTACATGTACTTTAATTCGTCCGAGACGTAAATTTAGACAATTTAAGCCAAAACTGACAATGGATTTTTAAACGTAGTAAACTACATTTGTACAACGTACACAGCAAAAATATAAGCTGTGTTCTTGGGATTCATCAAGTACATTTAAGTACCATGGCAAGCTTATTATGCAAAGGAATTGTATCATTTGATAAGTAACAAAGCAACAATTTTTGCTCTATCCTACCTATTTTGAAGTTACATTATATGCTGTCTTGTGATATGGCAAACATTAAACAGATGTTCATAGCATTATCTACTGACATATAGCTGACTTTTCTTTCCAAGGGGATAACAAAAATTACCTATTAAGATAACAAGCATACAGCAATGCCTATGTTTACATCAATTCATTGTTCTTGTAAGATTTAAAAAGAAAAGAAAGAAATACCCTTTCCGAAAAAGACTCTCTGACAACTAAATAAAGTTTAGCACTAGAATGTTTCACGACTGGTACAGTAACTTATTGCATAGGACTCCCTTATATTATAGAAATCATTCATATTGTATTATTATCCTGACTTTTCTCATACTTGTGTGCAATAGTTAAAATCATTTTGGCCCTCATTTATTACAAAGATGCCTGCATTGTGACTAAGAACACTTTAGAGGCAATTACCAAATTTATTGAAAAGTCATGTTTTCACTCGAGGTACAGTTCATCATTTGTTGATTTCATTATTTTTTGTCCTAAATTTTTCAGTAATCTATCATAATATACAAACAAAATAATTGGCAAGTTTCATATAAAATGTAATTTACTGTGAAAAAGCATTACTTTGCTTTTTTTTTGTTTTCTTCAAGCTTGGGGTGAGTTTGTGAGAATTAAAAAAAAACCATTGGCTCCAAAAAGTCATTTGAGGAATCATAATTTGCTTTGTTGCTGCTCATGATAGTCAGGTTTGTTTTTGCTTTAGTCTAAAGAAATGTAAACTGTACCCTAAGTGGTTAACAATTATTCTTTGTCATTAAAGAGGATGGGACTTCATAAGTCCAATTTAATATCCTTGAAAGTTGTGAAGAATAACAACCATTTGCAAACACAAGAAGGATAGTGATAATCCAAGCAATTCTGAAACAAAGCTTCTCATTAAAATTTAAAAAATTGGGTGTTTAGATTTCAAAGTGAAATTAAAAAATAATTTTCTGCGAAGATGCCCTATGGCTATTAAAGTGAAAAATATGTCTGCGGAAAGTGGTTAAAAAGAAACTTCAAATCAACTTGACATGTGTTCCCCAGTCTAAATCTCGTGCACATGAAAAATTGAAGATATATTATTATGCTGAATTTTGTGTCTGTATTGACTTTACTTTGCAAGCAGTCACACCTACTTGCATGTATAATGTATTATTTTATCCCATGTTTAAAGAGAGCCTAAAATGACCGGATCAAAGCATACAGAAACACTGAAAGACATTTTCCTAACAATATAAATATAGAGGAATACAAATTTTCTTCACTGCTCACTTTTTAGGGGTTTGCAAATGGTTGTCATGACTACACTCAAACAAAACAATTACGTTGGTTGTCTATACCCTTGTGCTAAGTGTTGTCCTTGGATTGTTCAATGGGAAATATTTATGAAAGTCAGTGATTTATACAATAGCACCTAAATATTCCGAATGAGTGGATTAATATTGCAACATGATATAGATATATACACATACATATTTACATATCAATAAATTTTGTCATTTGTGAAATGTAATATAGCTCTTTCTGGCATACACTTTCTTTTTGTCAAATACATGCTAACAGCACACAAAAAAGGCAAGTTATCTTCAAACCCCCTAAAAATAGGGTATTCTTCCTCACAAACAAGTACACATGTATACAAAAACTGTACAAAAATTGCCGACAAAGCTTCTTTGCAAGTCCCAACATTATGCCTAATCTGTCTTACATCAAAATGCAGTACTTTCTTATAAACATCTGAATAGCTACATAGGTATATCTGCATTAAAATACTGCTATACTTGCACAAAAACAAATAAAACTTGTCTATATTTCTCTTCTTTGGGATAAGAATTTGTTTCTTCTGTTACTACAATATAACCATAAGCTTTATATAGTGAAATCTAGAAAATAAAATCTATTGTTTCTTTAATTGGAATACAATGAATACAAACAAAAGCCATCACCTTTCGACCACACAGACACAAACCATCCAAATCTTTAAGAGAAAATTGTAATTTTCAATTGCTACAAAACAAGGAATGCTGAAATTGGAAAATATCACTTTTTAATATCTAAATCTGAATGTGAAAAAATATGTACATACAACATGCCAAACAATAGATCAAACAAAAAACAACAAAAGTTACATTTCAAATCAAACATAGCACAATTTATCAATAACAATAATTTTTGCATTAATTCTAGATAGAAAGTTTGTACAAATGGAGTCACAATATAATGACATTTACAAGCTAGTACAAATGAGGGAAATTATTATTTATTTACTGAAGTACAAATTATTACATGGTGAATTAATACTCTTTGATTGTGGATACAAACAAGTACTGAGTTGGAAAAGGAACAAGAAATGCGTGATAAAAGCCCATTTTTTGTCATCTAATGGGTACTAAGTAGCCAGTGTTACATTACCCATTAACTCATGAGCAGAAAAGTGGGAAATTATTTCATCTTTAAAGTTAAGTTAAAAACTGTGTCTGGTCTCGAATTGTGTCAAATATTCTTATACGTGAACAATTAAATAGTCAATAAAGTGTTAAATATAACATGCACAAATTGCACATTCAATTGAACACACTCAGGCACTTAGATTTAAAAGAGGAATGCAAAACCCCTTCAAAGGAAAAAAAACACAATAGAGAAATGAGGTACTCTTTCAAAATATGACAATAGATCCCCTACGGCCTCATCAGCTTCTTCCCTGATCGCCACCCTCCGATCTCCTCTCTGACTTGAGTCGAACGAACTCCCGCGCCACCTCGTCATTCGTTCGCTGGGATAGGATGCGTAAGATAGTCCCACCCGTGTCGTTGACGTGCAGCTTGCGTCCTAACGTACACACGCAGGCACAGCTGCCGCATTCCACGATGGTGTGGAGCTGAAGTACGCCAATCCCGATGAGGTGGTCTTCCCTGGCGAAGCAGTAGTCCTTCACGCAGAAGTGAAGCTCATAAGAGATGGGCTCATCCTCGTTACCTAGGATGCTATAGGTTACAATGGAATTCAAAGGTCAAAGGTTAAAGGTCATTCCTAATTTGATCCATGCAACATTTTAATCATAGACAAAAAAAATTTATTAAACTTGAACCACATGATATATCAGCATTTTCAATTTCCAAATACCATAGACTCAATTGTATTCTGTTATAGAACTAGATTTATAATCCTTTTTACCATACATAGGGCACCATACTACAATCACAAAAGTATTCTGTAAAACAAACTATGTAATCATTTTTAATTTTAGTAGTAACATATAAAGCTTTCACTGTTCTATCTTGTACTAAAACTTGTGGCCACAACATTAATGACATCAGAAGTTACATGTACATAAGTTATTTTTAGACGTTTTAAAATTACACTTTGAAATATGGACAATATTCTAATAACATAAATATTGGTATTGATAGATACAAAAATGGGCTTGTTTATATAGGAGAAACAATGGCAGAGTCACACCTGTGCATTTGAATTTTCAGGACATTAGAAGAAAATGTTTGAGAAAACAGAAGGTGGACTATGTTTTCTTTGGAGATATCTTACTCCGATGTAGACGTAGTAAAAATTTCCCGTTTCATGAATGCTTAATTACTATCAATACCTTTCATAAATCTTGCAGAGATTTATTTTTTATGGAAAGTATAACTTACAATTGGAAGGTCTCGTTGTATTTGGGTGCCCAGTTGTTGGCCTTGGACTTGGTGGAATGTTTGCGTCTTTTATCGCTGAGATGTGGTCCAATCATGTAGACTTCTACAAACGGTCGGAACATACTTGTCGTGTTCCATTTCAATCCATTGCAGGCAACCACTGAAAAACAGAAGTAAATAAGCATTCAATTAATTGACATACATCACACCAAGCATGCTGAATGGTTTTTAGAAATATTACAATTTAATCTTTTTATTGTTTTCATCTGTTTCAAGATATAGGGCAGCTAACTATCAACCTAAATTTGATCTTACCGAGTTGCTTTGACTATTAACTATCAAAATATGCAAAAAAAATCATATTCTGTTGTTGAAGAAATAAATTCATAAAGCACATCTCAGCAGAGGAGACAGAGTATAAAAAGAATAGTACATTGACCTTTCTAGAGTACTGACCTTTGACATTGACCTTGTGTTCCCCTGTGCCAGGATGGGTGAAGAGGTCGACCTGGATGGAGAGCTCACCAAACGACTGGTTGCCACTTGGTTGATCTGTAATCCAAGAAATAAATAACAAAAAAATATCATTGTTAATTAAGTGTGTCATTTATTAAAATGTATTTCTCTCACAACTCCTCTGAAATAATAATAATAATAATACTCAGTTTTTATATAGCGCTTATTAGAATCACTAAGCGCTTCCAAACTTGGAGATTATTACCCCGGCTTTAGCTGTGCTGCCATTGCGGCGCTCTAGCATATCAAAGAATTAATTCCTGCCAGGTACCCGTATCACTGTCGCAGGACATATGATAACGTATAAGAGGAAAAACATCTTTTATGGGTTCCAAGAATATATATGTATATATGTTTTTTTAAATTATCATTATCATTTTTAAATTTATTATTATTTTTTTTTTTTTTAAATCATTGTTTAATCTATATATTTATTATCATTATTATTATTTTCTTTCGGGGGGGGGGGGGAGGGGTTAAGTGTTCTTTGAAGTACTCTTGATCGGGGGTTCCATGGGGCTAGTGATAGAATAACTGAGAATTTAAGAATTATATTTCATATAAGATATGGACGAGACAGAAAGAGAGACATAGCCAGACAGTCAGAAACAAAGACAGAGGTCAGACAGATAAAGAGGGAGAGAGGGAGGGAGGGATCGAGGGAGGGAGGGAGGGAGGGAGAAAGACAGACAGAGAGAGAGAGAGAGAGAGAGAGAAAGAGATAAATAAATAGAGAGTAAGATAAACAGATGGGAGAATATCAAAGCCAAGAAGGATGGAGGGAAAACCAGAATTGAGATTTTAAAAACAAATACAGAATTAGATCTTGCACTAAAAACAACCACATACACATGATATATATATATTTAGACATTACCTTGTTGATTCTGCGTCTGGACAAAGGTCTTGATAAGCATGTCGGTGGTCTGGGTGTAGAGAGAGAGGGCGTACCGCAACGACTGAAGCTCCGGACTCTTCTCCAGAAAGTTGCGCTTGAGGCCATTGCCGGAGCCATGGAAGTATTGCTGTGGATGGGCGAAAGAACCCTGTTGCATGCGGGGAAGGGAAGCAATGTTAAACGGCTCGGAATGAAATTTCAAATAAATTGATCACAAAAACCTTCCAAAATCCTTCCAAATCGAAGTCTAGGATTGTTCTAAGGCAATTTCCAAATACATGTGAATACCATTGTAGAAATCCTTGTCTCTTGATTTTATTTTTTGAACTATTTAAAGAAATATTATTAAGTAGTAAAGAGTAGCAACTTGTATTTATGCTCATATGCACAGCATTTACTGAAATCTACCTTAATTCTTTACATTACATAACAATATTATCACTATAATTATTTTACTTCATACATTTTACTGTGATAGCTACAAAATAATAATTAAAAATGGGGCTTCCTTGCAGAGTTCCACCATCAACAAATATTTTATAGATTACATGTACCTATAGGATCGTGTATGTTGTGGTCCATGTCATTTAAATTTGTGATTCAGTTTTAAAACATGCATAAATTAAGATTAAGTATTACATATTATATAGTTAGTCTCTTTATGCTTAGAAATTGATTGCAATCAAAGGTGAACATTTAAAAAGAATATTTTAGTGGACAGTATAGTAAGCCTAACTATATTATCATAACAGTATAACTGCAAACGCATGCATTTTATTTCTGTATGTTCTTAAAGTCCCCATCACACCAAACTAATTTTCACTACATTCTGGAAAATGTTGCCAAACGGGCTCCTACGTTGTGCAAACAGAGGGAACATAGTAGCAACTGTTTAAGAACTTCATGGACGGGCTCGGACTGGCTTGGACGGGAAGGGTGCTCTAGAACTTTTAGCCTGTTCAAAACTTTGAACAGGGTGGTCGGGGGACAAACTAGTTAGAACAATTAAGTTGCATACTAGTTAGAATGGGTTTGGATGTATTGGGAACTTTTTGGGCTCTTTTTTTAATAAATCTTTTTTATAAGCAATCTGATGAAGGCAATTTTGTAGCTCACAGGGGAGAAATCGCCCGTCGCCCCTGTGTATTTCGAGAGTTGGTCTAAACTGACTACGGACGGGCTTGGACTGCTTGGAAATTTACCCGATCTGAACTTAATATGAACCAACTGTGGACGGGATACAGACGAGAAAGTGGACGTATTGAGGACTATTTGTTTATGAACAAACTATCACATCCTACCCTGACTACAACCATTTTTACGATTTTGTTTTAAGGAAGGGGCAGAACGTAGTGAGAACTAGTTGGTGTGATGGGTGCTTTATGAAATCTGATTTCATCAGAACTTAAATCTGATCAATTTTATATGGAAAAATACATTTTGCATTGTCTATCAAAATTTCATGTCCTTTTTATTTCACTTTCTCTTTAAAATAATACAAATTACACAGAAGATGTTACTGATGCGACATCGAAAGCAAATTATAATTCCACTTCACACGTTAGTCACTTTTAAACCAAACATCTTAAAGAACAATTAAGCACACTGAACAAAACATCACAACTGCTTCTATAGCAGAACTACACATCTTAAGCAGTGTTAACAAACTAGTAAAAGCTGTGCAAAGACCAAAAACACAAATTCTAATCAGTTAGCTAAAAGAGCCATCTAACAATGCTGCCACAAATGGTTAGAAAACTGTCAACAACAAAAAGTACATACACAGTAAACATAAAACAAATATACCAAACAATACAAATAAAGATAAGAAAAACAATTATAAATTAGTAAGCAATTCATGACATGACACACATCAAGGGGATCTGGTACTAATAGCACAACAAAAATCAAACTTAAAAACACATTTAGAATAAAATTGACTTCATCTTTTTAGGTGTGCTTGATTTTATTTTAAAATACGAAATAAGTTTGAAAAACTGAGATGAGTAATTTTGTCATATTCAAACAATTGTCATTTTAGGGTGCCAATATACCCCTGACAAACAATAAGTACCAACAAAATATATTTGAGAATTTAATCTATATCAACGTATCTATGATCCAAAGGCCTTATGTGGAAATTATTCAATTTATTAATAATATTAAGAATTACTTTTTCATACTATTTTAATTCTTCAAAACCATTTTACATTTCTTTGAATGTTTACTGAATATTCATTTACTTATTTTTCATTCAACATTTTTTACATAGGGATTGACTTACTTGAGTAGCTTTTTAAATCTATCCATGCTATGTTAACTAAGAGCTGGAACAGAAATGCACAACAAACATATTCAAAACTGATAATATTCAAAACTTGAGTAGCATTTTGAATTTATCCATGCCATGTTAAAGGTACTATGTCCCATTTGCAGGCCCAAAAAATGAAAATGTTGAATTCCAACGGCATTTGAAAGATAATACTAATGTAGAAATTCCCTCAGAACAAAAGGGTTTATAAATGTTTTTTGAGGAAAAATAATGACGGTTAGTGTCATATTCATAATTCCTGCAAAGTTCTACAGAATTTCATGTTGGCCGCAAAAGGGATACACTACCTTTAACTAAGAGCTGGAACAAAAGTGCACAACAAACAAACATATTCAATACTGATCAAACATACAACAACATCACAAATTCAAAAGTGTACCAATCACTAAAACATGTTTTGCTCTTGATGTAAGGGGTTCCATGTCCCTATAGTGTATCAAAAATATGGGCTTCAAATATCACTTCTACAAAGACGTATTTCTATTTTATTACACCCTATGTGAACAGTATAACGACTTACGAGTGGATTAGTTTAATACTGCAGGCATACAAACTCACATGGAACGCAAGTCCAACTTTGGTTCCGTGCATGCCCCATACGCAGGATTTCATGTTATCCTTCGCTTTTCTTCCTACTTCTTATCCGTTTACCTATAGAATGCCAGGTAAATTTTCTTTGAGGTTCATTTTATACATTGAAGTATATTAAACAAGTTACGTTTTTTAGAGGACTGGTACACTTTAAATCATAAAAGGAGGGGGTCACAAATATATAAAAACATCAAAACATCAAAGTGCGAATGTGCAAAAGCAGCTGGTTGCTGTGATAGCATCACTGTTTCCATAGCAACAAAGATGGATACCTTGATATGATCAAGAGCAACTTCTAAAACGGCACATTGTTTGGGGGACAGGTTCTTGTTTTCTTCCTTGTTCACGTCCTGTAACAAAGATCAGAAAATTGGTTACTCTCTCGTCTGATCATATACATATATTAAAAATACAAACATATTGAGAGTTTTCCATTCTTCACAAACATGTTTATAATCGCCTTTTTATGTTTTTAAATAAGTGTACTATTATCACTGAATTCCAATATGCTCTTAAGAATCATTCACAATTTCAGGTACTCAGAAAAGTATATTTAAGAATGAAATCAACGCGATGGGCTGAATTCCTATTTTAACAAAAAAATTAAGTACACTCATGGGAAACTCTATCACTTAAAAAAAATATGTAAAGGTTTGATACTGTCAAGGAACTAAATAATTTCAATAGGAAATATATGATGAACATCTATTAATATCTTTCAGAGTGTATTGTGAAATGGAGATTATTTATTATTGAAAATTTGTTTATACCTTGGTTTCTCCGCCATGCCCTTGCAGCTTGGCTAATGCTGGATTGAGTGTGGCAAGAATTGAACTCATCTGAAAAAGAACATTAAAAAAAGGATTATAATCATTATCAATTTAATTTATGTTGTCTAATTCTCCTTCCTCTTCTTCCCCTTCTTCTCCTTCTCATTCTTCTTCTTCTTCTCCTTCCGATTCTTCTTCTTCTTCTACACCACCTCCTCATCCCTCTCTTCCTCCTCAATATACATACATGTAAACATTAGCATATCTCTCCTAATTACATTTACTCTAACCACCATTCCCTTGACAACCATCATTATGGTGGCCAATACCATAACTGACATTATCATCCCTATCATCTTCATCTCCATCATCATCATCATCGTCGTCATCTACATCATCATCATCTCCATCGTCATCAAAACCACCATCATCATCACCACCATCATCACCATCATCATCATCATCATCATCATCATCATCATCATCATCATCATCATCATCATCATCATCATCATCATCATCATCATCATCATCATCATCACCATCATCATCATCATCATAATCATCATCACCATCGTTATCATCAAAAACCTCTCCACCAACATCAAAACCTTCATCTTTATCATCATCACTGTCTTCATCATCATCATCATCATTATCATCATCACCATTCATTATCATCATCATCAAAATCCTCTCCAATATCAACGAAACCATCATCCTCATCACCATCATCATCGTCATCATCATCATCACCATCACAACAATCATCATCCATCTTGCTCTTACCGAGACATCACTCATGGGTGGTAGTACGACAACCTTCTCCACGGTACTGATGACGATCTTCCACATCTCCTTGAGGAGTCTCTTCCATACTGTCTTCTCACAGTTCTGAGCCAACACTGACAGACTGATGAGAAAGAGAAAGAGAGAGAGGGAGAATAAAAACAAGTTAAGTTATATCAGTTCAGTTCCCTCACTGTTCTACACAAAATCTATTACCTATGTGAATATTCATTTCCCTATAATAAACACTAAAATATAACACTAAGATGGTTCAAATTGTTAACATATTCATGTCTGTTGCATATTTAATATATTGATATTTAAAGTCCATTGAAAATGCAATAGGTTGATAGCTAATATACATGTAACTCCAAGACGATACTTTAAAATACATAGAGTCTACTCCCAAATCATTTTTATTTCTATGTAGAGGGCAATTCAGTATTAAAAATTTGAACATCTTTACAGAAGTAATATTGGAAGCTAATATTTTGAATAAAGGATATAAGTATATGGAACCCCCACACACGGAGCTGTTTTGGTCATTGGTCTTCTAAATATAAGGATATCAAAGAGTTGTTGTTCTTACTTTCCATCAAGGATCTCCATGAGTGGTCTGAGTACCATGACAGCATCAGATTCATTGTTGCTTCTCTGGTTGGGTTGACCTTGACCTCTGATCTCACCCAGTTGGGCGCTCAGCCCCTCTATACCCTCGTGAAGACGTGGTACAAAGCTGAAATAAAAAATTACATGATTATGATTCAATCCATTTTTTAACATGTCGACTACTGAATTTTCATATTTTCCATTTCCCAGAAAAAACTTGATTCGAGCTAGTAGGCAATTTGTTAAAAGATAGTGGGATCTTAGCTGCTCTATGCTATTATGAAGGCGAGGGATAAAGCTGATGAAGACAAAATGGACAAAACATGATAAGAGTCCGGTTATACCATCTTCATTATCATCATGAACAACAATATCATCATCACCATCATTATCGGACACAAGGCAAACATACAGAAGGCCTGGGGGGTGTTTCACAAAGATCCTAAGTTGAACTTATCTCCAAGTTGGACTTAACTACTATGGAAAGCTGTTAGTATCTATGAAAATATTTTGTAAAAATTATTTTAAAAGGCATCAAATGTTGATTCAAATCCTTCTTTTTTTCTATTATCAAGGAGATTTCATGTTCTGGATGTGGAATTTATAAAAAATCTAAAATACTTCAATTTTCGCTATTGAATATCCTTTATTTTAAAGCTACAAATGGCTCTCCATAATTGTTAAGTCCAACTTAGAGTTAAGTTCGACTTAGGGTCTTTGTGAAACACCCCCAGGTGTTATCTAGAGCTGATATGGAACTATCCTGTGATAGGAAGTGGAAGAGATCAGTTTTAGGAAACAAAATAAAAGCAGGATGAGGTTATGCAAACGAAAGGGAAGAGAGTGATTTCTTTTAAAGAGAGAGAATGCTAGTAACAGGTAGAAAGAGAAACAGGGGGGAAATAGGGCACAGACAAGGTGCAAACAGGAATTAAAGGAAGACATGTATATATGCAAGATGAGAAATTTCCAAGAAAGAGGTAGAGATGAATTAAAAGACAGGGTTCTAGTCATTTTTCCCTCATGGCTTTAAAAGACCCAGATATTTACAGCAAGGAAAAGAAGCATTTCACACACTAAAATGCCACCACACTTAATCATCCCGAGGACATTGTGTTTGGACACACTACAACATATCAGATACCGATTGCTTTCTTCTCCTGGTCTTCCCTGATTTCCAAAAAAGCTGGATACCCCCAAAGAAGATAAGCGGGAGATAATTTACCTCTTTGCGAAAACTTTGCTGAGTTGGTCTAAGACTTCGTTGAGGCTGCCCTGGAGCTTCTTCAAAGTGTCTGCAGCCTCTGCGTCTAGCTTCTCTCCTCCCATCGACTCAAATACCTTCTCCAGGTATACCCTGAGCTGCTGGATGTTGTTCATGAGGATGCAGGCTTGGAGGGACTGTAGAAGATGACACAAACAACCAAGTATTATTTATAAGTATACTTACACATAATATCATACCACTGTGCAGTTTTTATGTTGATTGTTATTTGTAAAGAATTCATATCTATTGACAAAGGAACTTACTATTTCTTCCTTGTTGCAGTAGCGGGCAAACTTCTCAGTGACAATGTCTGCATAGGCAAGTAATACTCTGTTGACAGTCTGTAAAGGAAATCACACAAACCAATTAACACATTTTTAGCTGTTGCTATAATGATTCATGAATACAACCATTACAAACAAAACATATAAACAATTGCATGAGATCAAATTGTAATTTTTGATATTTACCTTATTGTCATAATGGATGTAAAATAGAAAATAATGGGGAAAAAACTAGTTCAAAGACATATTTTGGGGGTATGTGCGCATCGCACCAGCCTTACAATTGACACAGGAAAAGGAGGTGGTGGTTCTTATAATGACAATTTGGGGAGTCTGTGGACAAGGGCCATTAGGGTCGTACCCTTAATACTAGATGTAAGCTCATTTTCTACTCTGGTTCTGGATGGCTATGTATTTATCTTTTTTTAAATCAGATGATTTTGTTTGATAACTCACATTTGCAAATTTCCTCATGTATCTATTGACGATCTCCGGGTCCGGGCACTCGAGACGACGAATGATATCAAAGCTCTGGTTGATCTGGGTGAAGACATCAACCACGGAGCAAGAGAATCGAGCATGCTCGGAGCTCTTCTGGAAGTTCTCCTTGGCGTCCCTCTCGAGGGCGCCATGCAGGAACTCCATGGACAGTTCCTCGTTCTCACGCAGCCACTGCATGACGAACGGCTCAAACCAGCTATAAAACAATGTACATAGGATACAATTAAAATGAGTTATAACATCTGTAAACTACTGGCCATGAAGCCAATACATCATGAATGTATCTACAAATTCTCTCGTTACCTATTTAATAATTGATGTTGATATTTAATTTGTATACCCTACATCTAACCTAAAACCTAACCTAGAGCCCAACTGCAACTCCAACCCTAACCCCAAAATCTAATCCCTAACCCCTAAATCCACCCCTAACTTTAACTCCTAAATATAACCCCTAACCCCTAACCATAACCCCAAACCCTACCCATACATCTAACCCCTAACCCAAAATCTAACCCCTAACCCATAACCACAAATCTAACCCCTAACCCCTAACCCTATCCCTAACCTTTACCCTCACCCTAACCCCACACCTTTGTTTTGAAAAATAAAGCCTTAAGCAAATATAATTCATTTCTGTACTAACCTGGCATACTCTGGTGTCCTGTTCTCGTATTCAGTGACTCCTTCCACGTACTTGTTGAACATCCACTTCACCTTGAAATGAAGGTTCATGTATTCTGCACTCGTACATAACCTCTGCTGGTCATGCTCTGTTATAAGGGTCAAAAGGTTACAGACAAAAAGTTGGTGAGCCCTTAGTGAAACTAAAAGCATGTCAAAGCAGCAACTGCAGTCTTAAATGGTAACAGAACTGTTCACCTCTTTCTTTTTCAACAATAACAAAAAAATCAGAATGCCAGTCAGTATAGTCATAAGATGACAATACAACAGACTGTGGCCTGTATATAATTGGACAAGAAGATAACACAAAAAGATAAAAAGGGAAATATTTACTCGCAAAATTTGATCGCAACAGTTCAAATAAATACATAATGGACAAACAAAACATTTAAAAAAAATCTGCTTAGACACAGGATTCCTTTTGATTGAACCCCCCCCCCCCAAAAAAAAAAAAAAAAAATTAAATTGACACCATAGAGGTACACATGTATATCATTTATGCACGATTCAACTTCTTCCATTTAAAGATGAAATCATTTCATGGAAATCAACCCATTAGTCATGGTTTTATATTCACTGAAAGCTTGTAGTGCTTCAAAGTACTTCTAAGAAGTTAATCCAGAGTTATCTCAATCATATTATTCAATGTCTTGAGAGGTTTCATCAGTTATTAAGCTAGCAAGCTATCGTCCATACATACACCCACATCCACACCCACACATGCATACAGGTTTCTGGCGTAAATCCAGGACTGATATGTACACATAAGTATCTTATTACATGTTAGAGGACGCACATGTTTGTAGGAATAAAACATCCTAAGGACAATCTGGAAATTAAAAAAATAACCGAGGACCTTCTTTTTCTGAACGAATGCATGTAGAGCAACTAAACAAACGTACCCCTATATAAAAGGGTCTCAAAATGTAAGCAATTTACAGGGTTCTTGTACTGAAGACATCCTTGTTTTGTGAGTGGTCATCAAAGTGAAGGTACAGTCCTTATGAGTGTCCTCGATACCCATGAACCCGTACACTCCCATACCCACGCATACAAACGCACATGCATGTATTTACCTTCAAGAGCAGACTTCATATCTTTGGCAAAGCCACACCACATCATGCTAGCTGATAGTACACCCACGTTCAGCTCATTGGGAAACCTGAACAGAAAGAGAGAGAGAGAGAGAGAGAGAGAAAGAGAGAGAGAGAGAGAGAGAGAGGAAGAGAGAGAGAGAGAGAGAGAGAGAAAGAGAGAGAGAGAGAGAGAGAGGGAGAGAGAGAGAGAGAGAGAAAGAGAGAGAGAGAGAGACTAATTAGGATTTTACTTACATGAGGCTTGTTTACACATAATGCAGGAAACTCCAGGGAACTATCATGGAGGGTTCTTTGTACATATGTAAGTGAATCACACGTGAGGATATACAAGTAGCTGGATGCAGCAAAGGATCTATTCCTACTCTCTTATCTCGTTCGTAGAAGATACGGAAATTCAACGTGTTTAACGCTGACGTCATGATAAAAGAAACTATCGTGGTTAACTGCATCATACAGGAACGAGCCTTTGCAGATATTCTAAAACAATATAATGTAAAACGCCTGCTAACAAAAATAATGTAGTTCCATAAATTTACTTAAAAATACCAAACAAACAACCTGCTGAATTACAACTTACTGATTTAACCGAGAACGCAGGTTCGAAACTGAGTCACGTCATTCGGATGGTGTTGTTAAAGGGCTGTCCCCAGCATAAATAATCATATCTGATTGATACACATCTGTAAAAACACAATTATACACACAACTTACTGGTTGAGCACTGAGGTGTAGGTAGTCTTGTCTTCTTCTATGACAGAGACGATGAGGGATATCATCTTGGTCCAGAAGTCGAGGCTGCGTGGCCCGTTGGGGTCTTCCGGGTCGGGCTGCTTGACGGGTTGATCCGGTTGGAACTCTCGTTGGTACAGCTCAAAGCAGTTATCCCTGATGTAGTCGTAGGTGGATTGTAGACAGGCCTTGACGCACCCTAGGACCACTGAGGCAGCTCTAGGTGGACTGGCTTGCTCTTGCACCTGTTGGAGACGTACGGAACAATATGAGGATTTCAATGTACTTGAAGAAAAGGTCCAGGTAAGACGGTTGCAAGGTATAATTTAAAAAAATCAACAAATTTCATGCCCCAAACCTTTCATGCACGCCTAAGCAGAATGAGTGCATCAGAATAAATTTCAGTCCTGAGCTTTTAAAGTAGTCTCTTTTTAAGGATACTCTAAAATATATAATATTGATAGTACAACTACACAAACGCTCTTTCCTTAGGGCTAGATTGATATTTTAAAAATAGAACAGAACATGTTCACAATATCACTATATACATTGAACATCAAGTAAGTATCAAGTGCTTTACACTAATATTGTTTAAGTCCACTGCTTCATGCCCACAAACAATGTTTGCACCATCTCCTCTCCCATACAGACGTAATGAGGCAACATATTTTGCTGCTACAGATTCATTTTTGATTTACAAGCTCGTGTCTGGAAAAGGGTTTACTGTGGAAAGTTTTTCATGTGTCCTTTCAAAATCCATACAAAATTACATGCATTCTATCCCTGACTATTAATATACAGTGCAAGTAGTCTGTTTTGGTTTCATGGGAAAATATCCCACCGCTGCCATCACTGAAGATGATTTCATGTAGCTTACCTTCATTCTGAAGAATGTAATACTGGTTAAGAGGTCCACCATGGATTTGAGATCAGCTAGTCTGTCTACGGTATCAGCAGGGAAGTTATTCTAATAAGCAAAGAAGGAGACAAAGTATCAATAAGAGCCTGTGTCTTATTTGAATAACTAAAATATGTTAGAAGCCATATAAGAATATGTATACAGGATTATAATAGATCTTCTGAACTGATTGAATATACATATGTAAAAACTGTTACATAGAGGGCAATGTGCAGGTTGTGTGTAATTACATGTGCATCTAAATGAAAGGAGATATATTTTTAACATTTATTATAATATATTCAGGCATTTATAGACAGATCATCTTGCTTTTTCTTTTTCTGTTTTCAAGCAAATATGAGTAAAATGTGATCGCTGAGATCATCCAATTGATGATAGTAGTACCAGTTTCTTATATAGCACTTTTTACCAATAACCAAAGTGCTTACAGTATTATCGAATTTTTTCTCTTTCTGAACTATCACACACACTTACTCTGTATGAATTGAGATCTATCCGGACTGAATTGTGAAGTTGATCGAGAAGGCGTACAAACTTCTCTTTCTGCAAATGAATTAACAAAATAAAGGAATATTAAATCTAAGTAAACATTTAAACAAAATGACAACAGAATTTGAACATAACCTTTAGAATTAAACATGTGTACATCAGTCAACAGAGGAGATATAGAAGCCTCATCATCTATGTCAAATGTCATGGTAACATTTACTCATGATATTTAAATTATGTACATGTACATATAATACAAAATAAAGTGAAATTAATATTCACATATATTAGTGATAATATACAAATATGCAATAACACTCGAGGATCTAGCTGAAACTATGGCAACATCAACTAGTACTATTGATGTTCCTTAGTGCAAATAGTGTTAGCTTGTTCCGAGAATGAGTCATTGTATATTTGTTTTATTTCCCTTCCATCTGTTTCATTCCTTGTACACTTCTGTAATAACATGAACCTTATACTCACATTCACATCTTACATTCAGATCGAAAAGAAATAAAAGAAAATTGCATGGCTCAAATGAAACATTGAAGGATGTAAATATGTTTATACAGGTACTGCATTAGTGTAGTGCAGTTATCGCAAAGCGTAAATTGCATGGCTTAAGAGCGCCGTGACACCGCGGGAGTTGCTCGTGCGGAGGCATTTGAAATTCCTGTACGCTCGCTGGAAAAGTTGGTCTGTTTTCGTGAATCCTACTCACCCCGAAGTTGGAGGCTGCGAATCTGTCACTGGCAGAGACCGCAGAGGATGCTGTGGTGTGTGCGTAGAAGGCATTGATATTGGCTAGTAATGTACTCATAACGGCGGGTACGCCTGAGCACATGTACTTAGATGAAAGACAGGAAAAGTGTCTGCAAGAAAGAAGGAAAGTGGTACATGTTTATTAAATTCAAACAAAAATAACATTTCTTACACTTTCCTTGTTCATCGACTTGAAGAGACAAAACAATAAGAATAAAGAAAAAAAATTGTCTAAAATTGCCCCCTTCATTACAATTTCTCTTTTGTTCTTTTCTCTTTCTTTGACTCTTTGTCCAATACCCATACCAGCCTTTCACATCAATACTGTAGCAAATATTGTATATCCAAAGTCATCTCATCTTGCAAGTCATCTTGCAAATAAGAGCTGATATTTTGTGTCCTTGACCCGTACGTTGCCACCAATTTACATGCACCACAGAAGGCATTTCATTACAATGGTGTTTCATAAAAGTTATTAATTCATTGTTAATTTAGTATAAACAATGATATCAAAATTTGCAGTTTAAAGAAGAAAGACTAGCTTAATTGTCTTCATTCAAACCTGCAAAATTTAAAATATGAACTTTGACAGTCAAATAGTAAAAGCCAATTTTCAAATTTCGACTTACGTCATGGCTTGGTAGATGGACTCGATGCCGTATCTCATGGCAAACTCATCCACCACTTCCTGGGCCGTCTCGTCAAAGTAAATCTTCCAGGCATCATCGCCCTTGGCCGATGGAAGCTTTACCTGGCCCCCTTCCTTCATACTCAAGAAGTGGAAGAGATTCTGAATTCAAGAACAAATTATGGTATGATACTAGTTAGTTTATCTTGTCCTGCAGACTAAATGCTTAAGGGTAGAGGGAGTGGGTGTAGAGGAGAGGGTTAAGGTAAATTCATACAAATAAAACTTTCTGACAGGCATTATTTTCCTCCAAAATATCCCTTTTTTAGGATATATACCGACTGCTTATTTGTTGGGTAATAATCATATCTATAGTCCCTTGGAGATCTTGAAACACAGAAATGACCCTCTGAAGGCACAGTACAGTTTTGAGTTCATCTCCAGTCAATAGTTTTAATTATAAGATGATGACGTGGATCCTAATCAAATGATTGGTTGAAAGCGTACACGTGACCGGGCATTTATTTTGCCTAACGCGTAATCGCGCGTAATTTGGGTAATGACCGGTCATTATCAAAATCATGTTAGAAAACACCATTTTATAAAACAAAATAAAACATAATCTTATAAAACAAATAATACACATCATTTTTTTCAGGCATTAGTAAAATTACCCACACTTGGTACCTTCAAAACAGTCCAAACGCCCTTGGCTATCGCCTCGGGCGTGTTAGACTGTTCCAAAAGTACCTCGTGTGGATAATTCTTACTAATGCCCTCACCGATGTGTATTATTTGTATACTATTAACTCTAATACCATTAAATATTTGTATAATATTGGGTCAGTGGCAGTGGTGGGATATGTCCCAAATCTATTAAAAATGACCGGTGACTCACAACTGTCTAAACCTTACCTCATGAAGACAGGTGTATTGTACATGGTATGGGGCCACTGCTTTCTCCTCTCCCTTTATCTCCACTGATATATGCAACCTGATGGCACCCGAGACTGCTGATTTGTCTGTTCTTTTCTCTGCAATTCAAAGTTAATAAGAAAGCTCATAAGATCACACTCATATATCTGTCTATGCATGGATACTATCTTGAGCAAAATATAATTTAAAAAATCTAATATTATACCAAGTATCTTGTCAACCAAGGAAACCAATGAATTATCAAGACTATGTTGGATATTTAATCAGAGTCACCTACATATACTTAAGGTTAAAGGATCGGTGACTTTTTATTTCCAAGATTTTACAGTTTATAAACGTGTAATTCCACCGTTTTACATACCCTATAAAGCAAAACTGTTTATTGATTTGGAAAATAAAATAAAATAGAAAGAAATAGGGAATAGATATTATACAAATAAATCAATAATAAGTGAAACTTTGATGTTCATAAGGAATCTAGTGAAACCCTTGAACAAATGACTTTGAAATCAGAAACATTATTCCCAGAAGAGTTCCAAAGGAATCACTATTACCATCTATGTATTCTTCTTTTGCATCACCGTTTGATTGACAGTTCAATATGTTCTTGCAATTGTGGAACAATGGTATATAAAAATGCAATTTGTAAAACTTAATACAAGTATTTTGCAAACATGAATTTCCTGATATTCTGAAAGTATAATTCATGAAAGCCTCCATGAACTTACCTAGATTATACCAGACATCCATTTCACCGCTTAATGTCCTCACTTCGATGATTGTCTGGCCAAGAAAGTCATCTGACTCTCTCGTCAACTTCTGCATGAGTTTGGACTTCAGGTCATCATCTTCATCCCTGGGAATGGGATAAGATGGACAAGGACTCATTAGTAAAGAGATGACTAACAGATTACAATGGATATCTCAATCAGAGGCAATTAAAATCCTACACAACATCCTGCACCAAAAAGCTCAAATGATGTAAATGTTAAACATGCATTACTCAAATGGTAAACATAAATTACTCTGGCTCATGGAGAAATTTTAAGACCCTATCCGATGAGAATACAACTTGATATATATGGAAAACTAAAAGAATGTAGAATACAAATAAAAAGGAATAAAAAGTATTTATCCTTTCATTATTGCACAAAAGCAAATTAAAACCTCATTTTCCACACACGTTCAAATTACTGGTCAACAGGGGTCAAATTTGCCAAAGTTACAGTGACGACATAACATATGGACCAGATCGTTTTACCTATATAGCTGAGGCGATGAGCCATGCTTAATTAATGCAAAGTCATGGTCATGTCATCAAGTCGATAGCAAGTTTTTAGGTCAACAACTTCCAATTTTCAAAGCTTTAGATTTTGAGTTTTCAGAGAGCTGATACTCCTCTGACAGACACTAAAATGGCATACATATAATTGATATAATTGTAATCTATGGCTTATAAGCTTTATTAAAAGCAAATATTCAACAAATGGGGATGCATCATCAAACATTGAATTTTTAGTCAAAATGTTGAGGGTTCAAAACGCAGTCTGGCACATAATGTCCTTTTTGATCAGACATGAATCTATAATTGCTATTCTTCACCCAGGTGCAGAAGAGAACCTGATAGGCATATGACTCGACCAAAAACACAAACGTATATCAAAATGAGGAATTCACTCGGCATGCTCTTCATGATGGTTTGTAATAAAATTTTAATATAATAATAATGATAATAGTTCATTCTTTTATAGCGCATTTCAGGATTGAAGGCCCTCTCAAAGCGCTTTACAATTTATAAATGGTATATCAGACTTTGATGATATTTATGAAGCTGTTTTGAATTTCAAAAAACAAAGATAGCCTCAATGGGACTTAAATATGATGTACAAAACAAATATCAATCAAAGTAAAATTACATGCACATGTAATCAATATGGATATAGTTTAAAACCAAAAATTTTCATGATAAAAATGCTGTGCAGTTTAATGACTCACCATACTCTGACCTTGATCCTGTCTGAGGAATTGTGGCACTCAAAGAAAAACTTTTCGTTCCACTCGGGGTTGAGGTTCTGCTGAACGGTGCGCGTCCGTTTCTTGACCTTGCCCACCTGAACAGTGACGTAGGGGTCGCTCGTCCCAGTCTTGTCCTTGGCAATGAGACCCTGAGCGCTGACCACAGTGATGGCAAGTTTGGCTGACCACTTGGATGTGCCGTCCAGCACCGACTGCTTGACCGCCTTCATGTGCCCTGAGTGGGGCTGAGGCGGAGTGTTGAAAACCTCCCTGCAAGCCGGAATGAAAGAAGACATGATCAGTATCGGTACGTTAAATCTTTATCTGCAATGGATTGAAGCTCAGAACTGCCAGGTTGTTTGGGGTATATCACGCAAGTGATAAAAGTTGACTATGGCAGTTCTGTTTATTCTCTCGGACGATCAAAGCTGGCGAAGAGTTAATCGCAAACAATAACATGCAGAGTGAATTTCAGATTCATGTGTGCTAATAAAACAAGCAGACATGAATCTCAAACCTGGAGGATGAGGTCTACTGGAGGAATGGTAAAGTAAGTCTGAGTATGCTCTACTTAACACCTCTGTATCATCAGGAATTCCTACACTAATCCTTCTTGATAGTAATATGATTAGAAGTAATTCTGATGCTGCTGATTTTTAATTACTATTCTACCTCTATTAGAGTCAATTACTGAGGAGTGGACAAAGCTTTGACGTCCTTGTGCGTCAAGCTGTATGGCTTCTTTACGTAGGCAAAACAATGATGTGCAGTAGGTAGCCTCCAGTATATTACACAACACCATCATGATTCATAAATATTTTGTCTCTGACATGGTCTATAATAGTCAGTCGTCACATGGAATCCCAAACGGGAATTTGTTAATGTTATCTATAATCTAATAATTCAAAGAATAGCACAATAATAGAAATTTGGCCTGTAATCCCAAATGTGACTTTATTTGAAAACGTCTCATCAAATATGGAATTCATGGAATATGGACTTACTGACAACATTTTCAAGCCAAATACTAATACAAACACTTAATAAAAAATTGGTGAAGGGCAGTTAGTAATTTTTTCCATATATATCAATGGTCACTTGGAAGGATTCATAATTTTGGGTGAAATGAAGAAAAATCTGGAATTTGTTGCATGGGTGTCGCAATCGTCGTTCATTTCTAATAAGAATACTAAAAGAATAATAATTCTATTCCACCGCAGACATCTTTTGATTTTTTTTATTCACTATGGAGTAAAACCCAAGACTACATATCCCACCGCTGTCACCACTAATAAAAGTATTGAATTCTACAAGGGACACGGTTTGCACACAATAGAACACAAGACTAAGTATGTATTGCATGGTGTGCCAAAAGACAGCTGTGGCTGACCACTGCTCCTGCCATAGTCGACCAAAGTAGAAAACGAGTTCAAAAGTGCATTTGTAATATCAAAAAAAATCAATCAATACCTTTTTAATAACCCATATAATATTGCCTTCCATCACACTTCGGACTTATCTTTCAACATGCATTTAAGTTCCCTTTTGCATATAACATGCTAAACTGCCTTTTAAAGAAACTTTTGTGGAAAATAAAAATGACATTATAGTTGGGTTCATATCTCTGTATCATATACATACAAGGTATTATAAAGTAAAGTAAGTATGTGTTAGGGCATTTGTTGTGTGCAAGTTCCTGTTTGGTCCCAACTTGCATTCTTTTATGAATAAAACTTCTCTTTTTAATAGTCTGCTGCATTTTTTTCTTATTATAAAGGCAGTGTAATGTGTCATGCATGAGCAAATGTTGGACACAGATAAACTTTAAACTTACTAAATCATCTTAAATATTAGTCTGTTTACTTACCAAATCAATTCAAATTTTAAGCTTGTCATTTACTCATTCATTTAGAATCTTCAACTTTAAACTTACCGAATCATCTCAAATATTTCTGGTTTGTTCCTTTCCCGAATCTTCATCCTATCTTTCATAGCCATGATGATGTTTTGAGTCTTGTCCTCGGCACCATGCTTGGAGCTTTTCTCTGCCGCTCCTGTTTGTCCAATAGTATCAACAAAACATATCCACATAAAACAAGGAAAATGTTTTCTATGCCAGACCGCTCCAGGCAATGAGAAGTTTCTGCACTAATGACCAAATTATAAAAGCATTAACCCCAAGACTACAGAATTTTCTTATTCCCATAGGCTTAATACAAGGATTACCCTGTTCCCATAGCCAAAAGTTTAAGTACAAAATTCAAATACAATGGTTATAACCAATACATTTCACTATTCACGGAAATTTAAAAGATGAATAAATGCTAAATTCTAAGCACGTGCAGATAGGCTTAATTAAAACAGTTCATAATCAGGATTCCATCCGAAAAACAAATTATAAATAGGCTCTTTCCGAGACACAGAAATTAAAATACAAGAGAAATATATTAAAATTACAGATAAAAGATAACATATAGAATAGAAATAAAGAAATAAGGATCGAAGGGAATACTTCAAAACTAAAGACAGACAGAGAACAAATACAATTTTTGTTTAAAGTTTGAATATAACAGGAAACATTGAAACTATAATAAAAAAAAAAAAAACAAGAATACAAATACAAATATTACCAGCACAGAGATTCATCAATATACTATAACAATAGTATTCTCCTACAATAAGAATTAATCATTTACATTGCATTTCAGCCAGTTCTGTGTCTATTTAAACTACTCTGCATCTACACCATATCTGTTGGGGCAGAATACAGCAATTTCATGCAAAGCAAATGTCATATCAATAGAAAAATGATCTAACCTTCTTGTTGAAGAGAGAGGTGGGCGAGATAAAAGAAACTGATTGGAAAATGAAAGCTGGCGTTTTCTCATTAAGCCTCTTCTACAACAACTTTAGAAATACATGTATAGTTAATGGCTATTTAGAGATAGACTGTTTTCCAATTAGTGTCTAGAAAGAATGGCAAAAATACAGCTTCAGCCTTGTTCCATTTAAAGATAAAGGTGAGTTCTGGTCATGTGATTGCATGACGAAAGAAAAGGTGTGGGATGGATCAGAAAAAGTTGATCATGTAGCATGTAAGTATTGGTGTGCACTGCAAGGTTCTGGACTCATCAAAATCATAATAAATTTGGCCCAGTCTTGGAAAAGTAACAAGCACTGTACACAGAAAGATGTATATGGGACCACACAAATGTTGTCGGGGCTAGTACTACCTGATTTTCTTATCTTTCTATGCTCATTTCTCAGCCAGTATACATTTTCTTTCAAAATTGTTTGGCTCATGACATTTATTTGTAATCCTGAACATTCAGTGTAAGTTTCGTTTGATTCTGAGAGAATTCATTTTCTTTTTTTTTACCAGAACTCAAGTTTATCTTTAACTTCCATAAACCTTCATTGAGTAGCCTAGCGAAATGTCACGGCACAAGAAGACGCGTCCGGAATGCACAAAGGCGTAATAGTTAATGACATAGGTGAATTTTTTTGTTGTAATTTTACATTTTTTATTGAGTTTTTTTTTTGGTGGTAATATTTAGTCTAATCAAGGAAGTAGAGATTATTACTACCTCAAAGGCATAAAAATATGATTTTCCAACAACTACGCATTTTGCATTTTAGAGGCATCTTCGTGTGGCACTTCATTTCGCTAAGCTATTTCAATCATTAAATTATCAGAAGCAGAAAGATCTGTGAACCCTCACACCAATCAAGGAAATTAGAAAGAGAGATTACGTCCCGGACACACATGAATATACATGAGATGAATTATTCATGAGATGAATTATTCAAGAGGAACCCTTGGTTCACCAGCCAATGTCGAAGGAAGAGAGCCAAGCTGGAAGAAGAGAAATCTATGTGACGAACCAAACCATCCTAGACCAACCTCAAGGGAAAGAGCACCGAGTTATCATGAAGCAATTTGGGGTGATTTCAAGTCGAGTGTCATATGGCATACCTACACCTCAGAGATATTTTCAGTAGGTACAGATTGGGAGGGAGGTAAATATGAATAATATCATTAACAAAATTAGGTTTAAAGGCATTGTTTAACAGTGTTTCCAGTTTTACAAATATGAGATGCATGGCCTTAATTAGGTGTCTGTGACATGGTTTAATATTGAAGCCCTACAAAAATTGTGCTTCAAAATAATCATGAAGTGCCTCAAAAATATAAAAATCTTCATCATACTCATTTTCCCCAATACACTGTAGTGGTATAAAAAACATTGGGAAAATGGTTTATGAAATTTCGAATTCCAATCATTAATATCTTAATAATCAGACAGACAATCGGCTTGCAAAAAGTCATGGGATACTCGACTGACCTAAAGGTTTATAATTATGTTTGCAGCATGAGCTAACTCCAAGATTTGGTTTAGAATCTGAGGCAAAGATACCCAGTCCCTTTAAGAGATTTTGGCTGCATGAGCAACCATACTATAATACCGACAACTCGATTTGAAATCCCCCATTCATAAAAGCAGCCAAGTTTCTTCTTTCCCTGAATAATGAACAGGAAATACCTGTGTTGCTGCATGTTGATCGACGACTGATGAACAATAAAGATGGAGGAAAAAAACGTATATGAAGTGAGCAAGTTGCCAAAGAAAGCAACAATGAATGACAAAATGATGACAATTCATTGTGGGGATGATGATGGTAGCGATGATGATGATGATGGTGATGATGATGATGATGATGATGATGATGATTAAAATGATAAGAATGATGATGATGGTAGTGATGATAGTGGGGATGATGATGATGGTGAGGGTGATACTGAGAGTAAAGAACTAATGATTTTGATTTATTTTTTGCACATTTAAATAAAGTTGATTTAGTCTGAACCCCTTGTATGCATAGGGTAAAGCACTTAAGGATTAAACAATCATGATCAAAATGATAGCAATAGCGATGATTTTACAAGAAACAGAGGACCGAGTTTACATCAGCACAACTATAATTTCTTTCCAATGAAATCAAAATGACTATTTCTATGTGAGGTGATAGACAAACACCAACAAAAGTGAACATTTCTGTCAGAAGTTAAATACCAGATTTAATACCAGAAAATTTAAATTCTTTGAAAATAAATTAACTGTTTGAGCTTAATGGCCCTCAACCCTATAGATTAACTTTTGAGGTTTGATGCCTTTTTTTTAAATTATAAAAAAATAAATTTCAAGTCCATTAAGCTAAGGTTTGGAACCAAATATGATTTTCTTTCAAGGATAATAAAGACATATTTATATTTTCATACCTGAAGGCAAAAACATTTTGGTTAAAAAAATATGATCAATGTTTTTTTTATTTTATTTATTTTTTATTGCAAGGGAGAAATACATAATTCATGGCTATCAAGGCCTCTGTCATCAACAGATCATATTGTAAACTGCCTAAAAATGCCATGACAAAAATAATATGACAGTAGCATAGTGAACTTTGAACCCTTTGATATGTACAGGAGCATTTTCCCCTCAATTTGCCAAATATTTATAGGATTGTTTTTATTTTGCTGTGGATGTTTTCTTAGGCAGTTAATTGTGACAGGAGGGAATGAGGCTTAATTAACCTACACTTCATGCAGGAAAAGTGAGTCAAAACATGGAATGAGGTAGATGAGTGGATGAACAGAAGAGAAACTACTATTCTAGAGGGTGCTCGATGATCTCATTTGTCTTTCAAAACTATTTCAGTTTAGCAAGCTGCTCAAAATTTCTGACCAGGAAAGGAAGACCTGTGTGCAGATTTCTTGTAAAATGGTTTCTTAATGAATGGGATGTGAAAAACAGGAAAATGGGAAAGTAGGAAGATTGGACTATCAAAAATAAAAGACCTACAAAAGGAAGACCAATAGTGAAAGACCGTAAGAACCTAAAGACCATTTAAAACTGGAAACATTTGAAAGAAGAGTCTATTTGAAAGTTAACCGGAAGAAGAAGACCTTTAGAAAGAGAAATCATTGTAGCATGAAGATTTTTTTAAATCTACGATGAAGGACCCTGCAAAGCCAACCCTGGAGGCAACAGCAAAGATGCAAGATTTAGATGCCATTCCCGCCACCAACATCCTGTAACTTTACCATCGTCGACACAATTCTCCGCATCTTCAAATTCCTCTTCCATTGTCTCAATGACAACCACATCCTCCTCCTCCTCATCTTCCTCGTCATTAATGACCATGACTATGTCACAACGATCTTCTTGACGGTGTTCCGCTTCTTTCTCGGCTAAGTCGCCCTTCCCGAAGAGTATGGCGGGAAGCATAGCGAGGTGGTGAATAGCACGGACTAACCAACATGGCTGTGATTCGTCAATCGTCTCGCACGCTCATGGGATAGACAGTAAAAACATGCATGATTATCATTGCTGTTCATCAATGCCTTCATTGCGATTGGTAGCAGTGAAGGTTACCAATTAAGGGCCCACACTTTTTTTCCTAGGGCTCCTGATCGAAATGTTGGGAAACCATCTGCACAAGGACATTGCTACATTTCAAGGATCCACAGGGATAATTCTTTTTTGGGGGGGGGAGCATGCTTTGTTGAGTTAAGCCCTCAATAACCAGAGATGCCAACCTCTTGACACAAAAAAAAACAGACTGAGTATCCTAAAAAAAAAAAAAATCAGATTTTGGAGAGAAAAATAAGATTTTCATGAAAACTCAACACTACCACTGGCCCGTCAGCCCCGGGCCAGTAAAATTGCAGAAAAATGTTTGCTCTTTCAATAAAATTTAATGAGTAAATAGTAAAGCAAACTTTTTGTTGGGGTTACAGGGGTTCACTTGTACATGTTTCTATGCGATTCCGCTGTTTTTATGGGTTTACAACAACAACAAAATTTTTTTTTTTAAATTGTTGTTGTTGTTGTTTTGTGTTTTTTTTTTTGGGGGGGGGGGGGGGAGATGAAAAATCGTATTTTAAGATTTTAAGATCGTATTTTACTCTTATTATCGTACTAAATACGATTTAATCGTACTGGTTGGCATCTCTGAATAACCATTGTCCCCATGTGAGACAAATTAGTATTGCTTCATACTGGATGAAAACAACCCAACACTGCAATGCGTGATGCAATCTTAAAGGAAACCGAACCCCAAGAAATGACTTTACTTATTCTGAGAGATCTTTTATATTATTGCCCATTAGTATACAAGATTCCTCACCAAAATGTATGAGAGAGGTATAATGCAAGAATAATGTAGTATCTCAGCACGACATGGGCATTGCCATTATCTTGATAACATGACATACTATGCGAAGTTGTTTATCAAGTAAATGTATTCAAATTTATGGATGCTTCCTTCCCAGACGTGTGTGGTGATGAAGCATATCATTTACCTGATTTTATTGTACCGTCCTACAATTGCCAGAACGCAAAGTGCAAAAATTAGTTGGTGCTCTTCTGGGGTGAAGGTTTCTCACCAATGAAATGATTTGTCAACTACTATACTATAGTGTAGTATTTATAAATGAATTTAGTTACATTTGTTCCCCTGTTATTTATTTTCACCACATATACATGTAATTTCTATCTTCTCGGTTACGATTTTTCCTCATTGAAAAGTAAAGGTTTCGTTATTTCCAACTAAAGCTTGGTGCATGATACATGTACAACTTCACTGGTACGTCACATTTTCAAGTAAATGGCTGCGCCCATGTCATGCTTAAAGGCATCACATCATGCCAGGAATATCTTCATTTATATATCTCTTGTACATTTTCGTAAGGAATATTGTAAATCAAAGGGCAGGAATACGTCTCGTTTTTCAGAATACCTACACTTATTCTTTGGGGTTAGGTTTCCATTAACTCATTGACTTCTGAATAGTTTTATTCCCATAGGCTTAATACCACAAATACCTGGTTCCAATAGGCAATGGACTAATAGATGCTATACATGAACGAAGGTCAGGAAAGAAGCATCCATATTGACTTATCAATTTGTACAATACCGGTAATATAAAACGTGATCACTACTCAAGCTTTGGGAGACAATAAAATAAATTAAAGGCTTGCAAATAGCTCTAAATGGAATTCAGGGATATTTCTTTTTAGATGGACAATAACATATATGGTGAAGGAAATATATTTTTTTCTAGAAAAAAATAGAAAAGAAGTGTAAGCAGGAAATGAATTTTACATATAAAGAAAACAATTTCCTCTCTTCCGTCAAAGCTACTTTCTCTATAAATTATATCTGAAATTGTCTACCAAATATTTGACGAAACATCAAGACTAAAACAAAATCATTCAAATAAAACCGGAACGGGTGTTTTCCATGAATCTTTAACATTGGGCATTATAGAAAAACTTTCAAAAGCAATGTTTATCCAACAAAAACTAAAAAAGCAGCAATCACAACTTTAACAAAGCAAATATATACAATAGACCACGAGCATGGTAAAATAACATTTGAAAATATAAACAAACAAGTTTAAAATGCAAAAAATACTTTTTTAACTTGAACATAGATAAAGAGAATGAAAGGATGGTATAGACATGAAAATGACAGCAGAAATTAGTACTTTCAAGCTTAAGAATCACATTAAGACAAGAGCATATTCTACATATTCATAATTCCTCACAGACAGGCAAATCAGACAAAGTATTTTAGTGAAATAAGGAAAAACATCACGGGAGACATGATTAATCTATTAAAGAAAAAGATATAGGTCTATTAAAAACATGTCTAAAAGGAAAAAATGACAGGACAGCAAAATTATACAACTTACACAAAAAAAATCATACCGAAACTGTGTAGTAATCAAAGCTATACAAAATCAATTATTAAAGGTATTTTGGGTATAGAATTTATCAAAAAATTGATTTGCAATCACATCAATTAGAAACCAGTTTCATACTGAGAAATCTGTTTCATCATTTCACATATAATTTGAAACGTCAAAATGCAATAAAATAATAGTAAGGGTATTTTAAAACAATATGTCACTAAAAAATTGTTAACATGCATACATGTACCATGACAATTTTTCCTGTAAGTGTGAATCTCAAGTCTATACTTAACTCAATAATTCTATCACATAAATGAAATTAATGAAAGATATAACTCATATGAACATATTCTTTGATTTAATGCAAGGGTTAAATAAACTAAATTCTAAAATAAAAGACGGCATATAGATTTCTACAGCATTACGAAGAGGAAAGCATTTTATTTTCTTTGGGTAAAGGGGTGTGGCCAGGGTGCAAAGGAGGCATGTGTTTAGGAAAGAAGGAGGGGCATGGTAAAGCTAATGAACCAATCAGGTTTGTTGTCTACCTTCCATCATCATAGCAGATGCGCACCTAGCTCTGTCTGTATAATCAAGGGACACACATGATAGATAGATAGATGAAATTTCAGTGTTAAAATTGCTTGTCAAAAATAGTTTCTTTACTAATTCTCAACTGCTGTCGTCACAATTGTTTTCCATTTAAAGCATAGATACAACCTACATAATTTACAAGGTTTGTTTCCCAATTATGTGTACCAGGTTCAGATGTAACAAGCAACTATGATAAAAACAACAACTGTGATAAATTGAATTTCCAAAACTACAATTGATTTAGAAAATGTGGTTTAAAGGACAGAAAGTTTGCCACTGTTTTAATCCTAAAAGGTGTCAGGATATAACCAAAATTTAAGGAAAATATAAATCATGATCATCAAATTGGGGAAAAAGTTGAAGGTGCGTGGTTGTAAATAAAACTGAAGATATCGTAAAAAAATCATAGAAACGATGATGATATGGAAGGTCAGAGACATAGAACGTGATTGGTCGATTAAGGTGAGGTCAAGGGTTACAGACTTTTTCAGAGAGGGAAGAGAACACTGTAGCGCAAGCAGAGAGAAAAACAAGACTCTAGAGATATTTAGATCAAACACAGGTTTTTTAAAACTTACTGCTCTTCTTTGTCATGAAAACTGTAAAATGACAGACACATACAGAGAGGGGTGGGGGCGTAATTGTTAGTATTAGGAATTTACCTTTCTACAAAATACTTTCATCTACTCTAGTTTATGATTTATTTTGATAATATAATTTATGATGAAGGAAGTTTCAGTAAGGAGAAATTATAGGAAACTTTTGCAAAACAGATTGAATAATAAGTTATTTTTTCATCTGTTCAATAATAAGTTATTTTTTCATCTGTTCAATAATAAGTTATTTTTTCATCTGTTCAAAAAAATGCTTGTAGGATCATTTTTCCCAATGGTTTAAGGAATTGATGGTTAATGGTGTCTTTTATTCTTTATTTCAACATCATTTTAATTCAGCATCTCTAGATGATGATAGATCCAGCTGTTCAGGAACAATAAACAAAATCTCTTAAAATTGGATCCAAAAGAGATTGCATGTTTTTTGTTTAAATTTAATTTTACAGATAATGCAAACAAATGATTAAAATACAATAAAATAATTTAAAAAGAGCTTCCAGGGCAGTTTCTTGTTTATTTTGTCTTGACATTGGGCAAATTAAGACTCTTAAGAACAAATATTTGTCAGAAACCAAGAAATCAGACTTTTTCTGAATGCTTAATCAAGGGGACAGTGTGCAACATCATGAGTTTACAATGATATCTTAAAATAAACACAAATCACAAACACAAACACAAACAAACTCAGAAAAAAGCTTCAGCAACCACTGAAGGAACCTATCACAATTCAAACTGCATGTCCCATAATTTTACAATGGCTGGTCAAACTCCAAAAATTATAATTTTGATTCAATGTAACGATCGCAATCACCTGAACGGCAAACGTTATATTAGTAAATAATTTTCATTATGTATATGTGTTATAGAAGGGGCAATATTAACTTCTTTTGTTATCTTCAACTAACGACAAACCAATATCTAATATTTTTCTCATATCAATGGATTCAATATTCTATCTGAAAATTAAACTTTGATTCCCCTTTCCCTTAATCTCCTGATACGATCGAAAGAAAGTTAACGCTGCCTTGGGAAGTGGGTTCAAATTCGGAGCGATTGGGTATTAGACATGCTACAAATTTCAAATGGTTGAAATGGATTACTCGGCGGCGGGATAATGGATCAAAGGTCGAAGGTCAATCTCAGCCAATCAAGTTAACACAAATAATTTTGAATGGGGAGGATGCAAGGATGAAACAAAATAGGGGATGGGGAAAATTTTCAGGGGCACACTTTCCATCGTCTTCATTTTCTTGTCAAGCCTTTTTTTTAAAAGGTCAAAATTCTCTTTGGTTCAGGCGTTTTGTCCATTGTATCATTGGACCAAAGAGTATCCTATTTGATTTCTAAATGTATACATTTTATATCAATCTCTTTCAGACAATTTCCATTCATGTTAGTTGATCTCGCTCAAAAAAATGATTTAAAGGTCACTGAACTATCACTAGTACCTACCCGATCTGATACAACGCACCGTTTTCATTATCATTATTATAATTACAATTAAATAATCATATTTTGCCACATCCTTCTAAGCAATACTCACGCTGTAAGCAGTCGGCATTCAGAAGGTCTTTGCACTTCTCGTGACATTTGACCCCGCACTCTGAGCAGCGCACCCCCTGGCGGGCGATGCCCCAGAGCAGTCCCTCACACTCGTAGCAGTAGGTGGGCGTGGTGGCGGTCCAGATCTCGAAGTTGTGGGGCGTGGTGCTGGAAATTGGATAAATCAGGGCTTGTAGGGTCTTCTTGTAGACGTGGCTTTTCTGAAGGGTCAACAAAAAAAGGGTCATTGTAATTACTCCGAGGTCCCATTTGTACATCTTCTCTTTAAAGGCATTGTTTAACAATGTTTCCATTTTTAGAACTCTGAGATGCATGGCCCTACGTACATGTTATATTTGTGTCTGTGAAATGATGTATCATTGAAGCCCTAACAAAATTGTGCTTCAAAATGATAATGAAGTGCTTCAAAAGAGTAAAAATCTTTGAGAGACCGGTTTCACCATACTCTTTTCCCCCAATAGACTGCAGTGTTATAAAAATCGTGATCGGCTTGTAAAAGTCATGGGATTCCTGACTGACCGAAAGGTTTATAATTATGATTGCAGCATGGGCTAAATCCAGGATCTTGTTTAGAATCTGAGACAAAGATACCCAATTTCTCTTGTTGAAACTTTCTCTTTTCAAGTACCTCTTCTATCCTAAGTACATCTTTCACCCCTCCGTTTAATAATAATGATAATATTAAAAATTACAATAATAATACCTGTTTCTTAAATAGTACTTTTCCCTCGATTAACCAACGCCCTGAAAGTAGTATTATTACCCCGGTCCCTGGATTCAATTACTGTTCTGCATATTACAGTGCGCATTCTCCACTCTCTAGAGAGAATGTCAGCAAGTCACTTTTTAATTCAACAACAACATTCCCATTCTATCAGGTGCCCATTTACCACCTGGGACCTGTTTCACAAAACTATTTTCAATCACAAATTACAAAAATAAGTGACAAATTTGCTGATAACCAATCAGAAGCAAGGATTTCAGTAGCTTATAACAAAGACTGTCATTTGTCACTGATGAAAAGTTTTGTGAAATGGGTCCATGGTAACACTTGGATAGAGAGGAACAATGTCAATAAAAATGCCTTGCTCAAGGACATAAGTGCACTGCCAGGGCTTGAACCCACGACCTTTGCATTTCCAGCCAAGTGATTAACCATTTGACTGTGTATGACACCTCTACATTTCTTTAGTCTCCATCCATTTAAAGCCCCACTGCACTACTTATAGCTACTTGCGCCCTCTATATAGCAAACAATGCCTAATCGGTGCCTGTTGGTCCCCCATGATCCCCTTTTTCTTATGTTAATTGAGAGCTGATTTGATGAGATAACCACCTGTCAATGACAGGTATCCAATGACCATACAGGATGAATTCTTCGAGCAGTCATTCTTGTGAATATCTTGGCCCTGGTAATGCCATTCTTTTGTCTTTTCACAACGTAACCTGAGGGGCTCGGTTTTAAAAGAAAAAGATACTTTTCTTGTTTCATCATCTTTTGAAAAGGATTGTAAACTCACAGACTCACTAAACTGTCAATCTGTTTAATAATGTAAGTCACATATATCATGTGCGAGTGTACCATACATAAGTAATAGGCAGAGAGAAAGAGAGAGACTGAGAGTCTGAGAAAGAAAGAAAAAGATAGAGAGGAAAAGAGACACAGAGAGAGATAGGGAGAGAGATGAACATCAAATCAAATCAAATGATATAAAAACAAGTGCAATCTTACCAATTCTTCGTCATTCAATGACTGCCTGTTGACCATTGTCGAAGGCATTTGTTGCCGCTTCATAACAGCTAACGACTTTATCAAGGAAAGAAAAGAGGTACAAAAAATTAATTCAATGCACAAGATTTTATGGAACTGCATTTCATAAACTCTCTACCCTAAAGAAAGTTTTAAAACACTGTGAACTCTGATCTCTTTGACTCTGGATGGCTGTGCTGACATTCATACACCTGGGCCTGTTGCACAAAACTTACCATTGATGGTAACTTTGCCATCAATGGTAACTACCATGGAAACCTTGATTTTTATTGGCTGTTGAGCCCTGTTGCCATGGTAGTTGCCATTAATGGCAAAGTTACCATCGATGGTAAGTTTTGTGCAACGGGCCCTGGACTCAAAATCAAAGACCAAGACCTGAACTGCATGCTTGATGTGCAGTCTAGACCTGGACTTGGTTCTGAATCTAATGAAGATGTAAAACTAGCAAAGAAACTTCACGGCGGACATGACAAAATTAAAGATGAATATCAAAAAAATGTCTTCTTTTCTATTATTTGCAGTGGTAGTCATATAAAATTCAGAAGGCAGAAGGCAGAGAGATTGAACAATGCAACTGTGTCACTGTCTCAAACTTAATGTTACATCCAACTTTGCACTTTGATAAGAGAATAAATACAACTAAATACATTTCCGAATAAGGTCCAAAGGTGTTACCTGGCAGTCAGCTTTGCTACATGGAGTAAGCGAAAGTTGACTTACCCATCCCTTGTAACTCTGAGGCTGTTCACACCGGCAGAGATAGCGCGCGCTAGACTGCGCTATCTCTGCGCTGTGGAAGGTACAACGTTGTTTCGGTCTGCCCAACAGCGAGCCACGACGAGCCAAAACGGCGTGCCACTGGAGCACCTCTTGGGGGTGGTCCACGAGAGATAGCGCGATCTAGCGCGCGCTAAAAAAAAGGGGGTGCTACGATAGACCGCGCTATCTCATTGCGGTGTGAACAGCCTCTAAGTATCCAGTTTGCATATCTAGCTCCATCTTTTTCTTCAACCACTACCGCTATTTTGTACCTCCCTCCCATAATCCATTCACAATAGCTGAAATCCATGTCCGATGTCAAAGACAATCTAATACAGCTCTAACACCTTTCTTTCTGTAGCAAGCTCATGGGCAGAGTATCTTTGATACCTTGTCAGAATACTCGTTACTCCCACGTGTGATGAAAGCCACAAAGGCATTATCTCATATGATTTGACATAGACTTCACGCAAGTCTGGCTCTTGTCAGACAATATATAACTACATATACATGTGTTCAATCTCACATGTCAACTTCAAGTCGTGTATCATTTTCCATGACCGCTGACGTGTTCGAATAAAATTATATCATTAAAGCCTTTTGTCATAAATACCACGCCTACTCTCAGAGTAATTTAACAATTTTCTGACTAAAATCCATTGTTCCAAAGAGTGATGAAGTGGTAGTGAATGTATTAATTGTTCAGTTAAGAGAGTTGAGCATACTTTGCAATCACAATTCAATCTCGCATAACTAGGCCAGAACTAGGGGGCATCAACGTTAAGTAAAGTGCTATAACGTCATACCCTTTCGGCTCTCGACAAAAATTATGAAATAGTATGAAACAGTGAATTAAAGAGAAGGTTGAGTTCTGGTAAGAGGTGAAAAATAATTTGTGCACGTTATCATTGTATTATGCAAGTGTGGAAGAGCTTCAGATGAAAAACGTTTCCTGAAAAGCATGGCCCTTCAAATGCCTGAATATTCTAAAATTGGCATGTAACATCATAAAAATCGGGACAGATTTTTATGCCACATGTTCTTGTAGTCCCATATATATCTTTTTGTGTACAGTGCTTGTAACTTTACCGAGACTGGGCCAATTTTTTATATTATTTTGATGATTCCAGAACCTTGCAGTACACACCAATACTTATATGCTAGATGATCAACCTTTTCTGATCGATTCCACACCGTTTCTTTCATAATGCAATCACAAGACCAGAACTCAACTTTGATCTTTAAGTGGTAAATAAAAAAGCATCCCTTACCCAACACAAGCTCTTGACCCCAATCTCCTATGTAAGCATGTCGTGGATATAAAGATAATGATTGATAAGTGAAAATAAGAATGAGTTAGAATGGAATTGGAACAGATAATGAGAAATGGGTTACATTAAACAAGACTAGTGAATACATAGAGCAACATTTAGAATGAGAATTCAATGTTGCATGAATAGAGCAGCCACCACAAAACAAAAATGTGCAAAACATGTTTTCAAATATGAAACGATCAGGATTGTGTTTGTTGTAAAGAGCATCTTTATCTTTATCATACGTGTAAATTATAATCCTGGCTTTAAATATGCTCATGAATTGAAAATATGGACATTATAATGCAAAAACCTCATTAATATAGACATAAATACGCATTTAATTTTCATTTGAAAATACTGAATCTGGTATTATTGTGTGTAATCTATTTCAGATATGAACATTTTTCACAAAAATTACTAGATAAATACATGTTCAATATTCATACACTGCTACACATGATTATATCCAACCGGACAATTTCACACAGTCACAAAATGAAAGACACTGACAGACATTAAGCACAATATGTGATAATTGTTGACAAATAAACAGAAAAGTGAGTGCAGATAATAGAAATTTAGAATAATAATTAGGAATTTGAATAGACCAGAATTTTCATGAATATATAATCCCCCCCCCCCACTATACAAAGTCTATCTTTAGCTTCACAACTCCTTAAACAAGCGCAATGTAAGGAATATGTTTTGGGAATTCTCTCTAAATGATTTTTTAAAAACAATATGTAACAGATGTTTGGGACAACAGTGGTAAATATACAATTGATACAGAGCGAATGTTCATGTACCAAAACAAGGTACAGCATCATCTGAATCATAAAGGTTATAAGTAGGTTCCTTTTTTAACACCATATCATTCCTATATACTATTTCAAATGTCTTGTACAAATGTCCCGTATAAATGTCCCAAATATAGATCTAAAGATTTATTCTTTCACGGTAATCTAATAAAGGCAGAAAAGGTGAGGATCGAGGTTTTAGTTCATTTATTTAATTTTCTACTCTTCTTTTTGTGTGTCACAGTGCTAGAAATGATGGACGCATGGTATAAGAGAATTTAAAGGGAAACAGGCAGAGAATGGATTTAGAAAACCAGGTCACAACTAGGATACAAGTTTTACGACGTATCAATAACATGGTAAACCAACCAGGTGTTTTGTAGCCTGGGGGTAATGATAGATTGCAAACATGTAATTAGAGAGCGATTGAGGTAGGAGACAGTCAGGGACACTCGATGTATACATGTGGGTTAGGGTGAGAGAGGGAGAGTGAGGGAGGGGGGGGGGGGGGGGAGGGAGGGAGAGAGAGAGAGAGAGAGAAAGAATAAGGGGAGAGAGAGGGGGGGGGGTGCACAGAAAGATTGGAAGAAAAATAGGGAGATGGGTAGAGGGGTAGCAGGGAGACAGGGAAAGAAATAATGAAGAAAAAATAATAAAAAATGTTAAAGTGAGAAAGAGAGAGAGAGTATGAGAGAGAGAAAGAGAGAGAGAGAGGGGAGGAGAGGGGATGAGGGGAGGAGAGGGGAGGAGGGGAGGAGAGGGGGAGGAGAGGGGGAGAAGGGTGGAGAGAGAGTGAGAGAGTATGGGACTAATGGAGGAAAGGGGATTAGTACAGAATAATAGGTAGATACAAAGAGAGTGGGGGTATAGGAGAAAATTACACCAATATATTGTCCAAAGAAAAAATATAAGGCATCTACAGTCAATACAAAATCTAAGATTTTCAAATAAAATACAGCCAAAGTATATATGTTCTTGATAATATATATTTGACAAAGCATTTAGGAAAAAAGAAAGAAAAAATGTACAAAACTATACAGGAAAAACACTCTAAAAATGATATATCTATTAAAGTCTACGACACGTTGTCTGACACGTCTGAGTCACGTCTTTCGGATGGTGACCTTAAAGGTCGGTTCCCAGACGTATGTAAAAACCCAATTACACACACTCATACACACAAAAGACAAATGGATAGCTGCCTTATGAATTGAAGCAAATTTAAAAGATGTATATTTAGTGCTCTATTGAAAACAATAGGGACAGAAATCCTTTTTAATCATACAGAGACATAAAGAAACCATACAAAAAAATTAATTAAGGTGTGACAACTACAACCAGACAAACAAACATGCAGAGAGCAGAGAAAGAAGAATGAGATATTGAACAAAACAAATATTTCAACACTTGCACAAAATAAATGATCAAAGATATCAACAGAATCTGATGAAGCTAACAAAGTTATGAAGAGATGAGCATTGCACGAACAAAAAAATTGTCTGTAGAAATGACAAAGACTACGTGAAAATCTACATACATGTGTGCAGTAGTAATTTACAAGGTTATTATCTATGCTATATTACGCTACATGTATGTAATCTGAGCTATGCTATTTTAGAGCCTCCCCCCCCCTCTCCTCTTTCATTTTTAAGTTGTAAATGTGGATCAATTTTTGACCTACATTTAGGACGCTAAAAAGGTGATCAAACCGGCAATGTGAGATGAATTTTCACACATCTCCAGGCCCCAGGGAAATGGTTGTGCGTGACTTCATCCTCTTTTTATTGAAGTACGCGGCGCTCATAAACATTCCTCTACATGCCGTCATTGCATTTGATACATACTCAAGTACTTAGTAAAGCTGGTTTTCAGGAGAAGAAAAAAAATCATTTAACTTCCTAAGTTTGAGATTATTTGGACATATTCTAGAATCGAAATGAAATTAAATGGCGTAAGAAATTGAAGTGGTCTGAATAAAACAGCTCGCTTTCATCTATTTGAGAGATGGAAATGTCTGTCTCTCCCCAGCCTATACACACATTATACAGTGTATTTCAATTTGTACACATAAATACTTTTTAGGTATATTTCCTTTCATTGTAATATCTTACCTCTTACGTCTTTTATTGTACATACATATTTCATATTTCATATAGTCCTGTAATTTTTTTTTTTTAAATAAGTAACCTGGACTAACTTATGTGTGTTCTTTTGGTTCTTTTTTACAACTAAAGATGATATATAAAAAAGAAACGTTTTTATTGCCTCACTGAAACTCAGTTATCTACAATGAACGTGCTCTTTTAAGGGTATAAAAACCAATATCTAGATATTATTTCAATGTAATTTCATATTCCACTCCCCTTAAAGACACTCACTACCCTCATTCCTGCATCCTATGATTAGTAATACCCCAGAAGGCTCAATAACTACAGGATAGAGAGAGAGAGAGAGAGAGAGAGAGAGAGAGAGAGAGAGGAGGGGGATATAAATTTTTATGACTATCACATTACTAACGATGCCCTCTAATCAATAAGGCAATCTGTTCTACAGCCCTCACATAATTACATCCGTAAATAGGGCTGTTAAATGATTTCTAATGTGGCTCTGACTAATGCACTGGATTTATAGCATCAAGCCGACTTCGGTTTGTTTGGAATGCAATTACTATCCTTCCCATCATATTAACCTTGCTATATGAATAATGTATTTCCTGTTCTGGCGCAGGTATCAGTCTATACATTAGTATCAAACGTTCGCCAGAGCCAGCAGAATTAAAGAGAAGTTGAGTTTTCTGGTAAACGTGAAAATAATTTACGAGCTTTCTCAAGTCCTTTGTTGCACTTAGTTGCCATTCATTTACACGTTTAAGAAAATCATGGCAGCTCTTTTTGCAGCGGTTTACCCAACTATATCTGAAACAAGCCTTTAACGTTCAAACAACTAATCTAAACTGTCGGATTCATTAAAACATGAGTTAAGAAGAGAGTATGAACAAGATGATTAAAGCATGCAAAACTACTACCATCGGGATGACATCTATACAAAAAATTACAAGTACATGTATGAGTGAACGAAGATGTGTATGAAATGCATGCAGTGTCATTACATCAATACATATTTACAAACAATAACATCACAGAATTCATCAATAAATCAAAACCTTTATCTACAACTCTCTTTCAGTATCTCTTCCCTTCTCTCTCTCTCTCTCTCTCTCTCTCTCTCTCTCTCTATATATATATATATATATATATATTTCTGTATCTCTTCCCTTCTTTCTATCTCTCTCTCTCTCTCTCTATCTATATCGGTATCTCTTCCCTTCTCTAGCTCTTTCTCTCTCTCTCTCTCTCTCTCTATATATATATATATATATCTGTATCTCTTCCCTTCTCTAGCTCTCTCTTTCTCTCTCTCTCTCTCTCTCTCTATATATATATATATATCTGTATCTCTTCCCTTCTCTCTCTCTCTCTCTCTCTATATGTATGTATCTCTTCCTCTCTCTCTCTCTCTCTCTCTCTCTCTCTCTCTTTTCCATTGCTCGTTCTCTCTCTCTCTCTCTCTCTCTCTCTCTCTCCTTCTCTCTCTCTTTTCCTCTTTTGCTCTCACCAGCGGGATGGATTTTCTTCGAGGTAACATATCTGGCAGGAGGTCTAATCCTGGAGGGCTACGCCATGAGAAAACAAATAAATAAAAACACAAGAATGAAGATGACAAAGACATATCAATGAAGACTGAAGACTGAAGAATACATATGAAGAGTTTAATTCCGAAAGGAGCTAAATCCATTTTTGTAACTTTAGAGAAAAATTGAAAAGTGACATTACAAGGTGCATTTTTTTCATAATTGCTTCCAAAATTTAGGTCAATAATTTTGTTGAAAGACGGGTACTTAAGTGAACAATGTTCTGATATCAATAACTCAATCTTCATCAAAAGTGGATTTAGCTTCTTTTGGAATTAAACTCTTCACATACATTCATCAATATGCAACATACATGTACTCTATCAATCATATATGCATGTACTCTATGCTAAGATTTAAGAGGGTGCTGTGTCAAAAAAGAAGATTTGAGTTGGGCCCTTTTGGCTCTCTCCGCAGACGATATACAATGTACTATATTAATACAAACGTATTGTCTGCTTAGAGCAGCAAGGGCACTAACTCTGTGTCAGACAATATGAGTTAAGTCCTTCTAGCTCTTCACAGATGATAGGTGATGATGGGTATAGTCAAGGTGATAATTGTATACACCGTGATGTATATGTGATACATGGCCAATATGTTTTGTATATTTAGAGGAAGAAGGACGTTAACTCTGCGGTGAAGGAAACAAGTTAACCTCTTTCTGGCTCTCCACAGTTAATATGAGATGATGGGTAGGTAGTATAGGTAGAAATTGTATACATACACCATGATGTATTTGTAATAAATGGCCAATATGGTTTGTATGTCGAGATGAAGAAGGACGTTAACTGTGAGTTGTAGGGTATGAGTTGACACCGTCCTTGCTCTCAGCAGATGACATATGTTTAGTTTTGCAGTGGTTTATGCGCCACGATATATCCTTTTCTTTCAAATGCAACTATTCATGTGCTCTTGGTAATTTATTTCTTTTAACGGAGGCAAAACAGGTTCATTAAAAGACAGAGTTGCATCCTGAACAAGTCCTAGATTCATGCTCGGCTTCTTTTGCACAATTTGTTAAAAGTATTCATCCTATGGCGGATATACACGGTGGCCCATATGTTATGTAACCCATTACTAAACCTGGGTCGAGAGAGGCAACCTCAGACAAATTACCCCAGATTGTGTAGGGAAATATGCACAGGTACAGGAATCAATGTTCTCTGATTATCATGCCCTCATTTGTGTCTCTTTCTAATTTCATGATATGAATAAAGACATTTGTATGATGCTAAATGTAATATTGATTAACAGGTGAGGAGATGTTGGATATAGATGAATCTGGAAATATTGATGGCATGAAGCATCTAATCTGATGCCTAATAATGTGCAATGGCTATATCTAAATTTGAAATATATCAAATCAATGGGGATGCTAGACTGGGTTGGATGTGTGGCGATGGTAAGGCGTGATCTAAGAGTAACCGAGCGTTAGCTGTTACTATGGCGATGGTAAGGCGTGATCTAAGAGTAACCGGGCATTAGTTGTTACTATACCGCTGATATCTTGCGGGAGGGGGTTAGTTCAGGAGCCATGTCAATCTCCAGAAGTTTATTCGCTGGGATGCGAAAGTTTTTACGTCTCCTCAAGGGTCTTGAGACTGAAATGTCTTGGTTGTTGTTGTTTATAGTGTCTGCAAATTCGCTGTGAAAAATAATTGTTACACCGTTGACTGTAAGTATACCTCATGTCATGTTAATTCATGTTAATTCATGTAAATATTCTTCAGAAAAAGGTTTCTTCTTTGACAAAGTAATTATTTTCTTTTTTCACTCAGAATTGTTTAAACAGCAAAACTTTTGGATACATGTAATAAGAAATCACAATGATGTAGATTAGCAAGGCATAGAAGAAATCAAGAAGAAAAAAAATACATCTATTTAAAAATGAACAGAAAATCAAAGAGATTAGATTGGTGTTAGTTACTCTTTTGTTGTTAGTGGTCGGTTAGTGAAAACATTGTGTTGCATCAGAAAAATAAACCCGGTAAAGGTATATGTGATAAGTATCATTCACAATCCTAATGTGAAACAGAGTATTCACTACAATATATACAGTATCAAATGTGATCTTTTGACAATAATACAGTATGGAGAATTCCAATTAGGTAATATTTGCAAAATTGTTATTAATCACCTTGGGTATACCATATGGTTTTAAAAAAGGCATAATTTTACACTTATTGCTCCATCTAGATCTCTCTTCCTTTGATCAAAGAAACTAGCGTTCTATTAAAATCACAGTATATGCAATGATTTAGATTCATGTTGGTTTGGGACAATACACTTCTAAAAATTCTTAGTCTCACATATTTGCAGGAATTGGAAGTCTATGCTCCAAAAGTGAATACACAGAAAGCATATTTAATCTAATGTAATACTGGTACTGTTCAGAAAGAAAGAAATATTATATAAAAATGGACATTAGGGGCAATATATTGAAACAACTTCATTAGTTTACTTACCCGCCATTTGCTAAGTTGGCCCACAGTCCGCCTACCCTTCCTGACCGCATACTACTGTCACCATCGTAATATCCCTGAGACGATAATGAATTATACACCAGTCATAATGACAATTTTAAATCAGAATCAAAATTATACGCTGACTTTTGTCTAGCAATGCAGCCTCTACCAGTACCAGCAGTTTCTTGTGATGAATATTAAATCTGAGGTACTCGCAATGTTTCTGCTACTAAAAACTGGAACATTTTTAACACAGGGTAATTCATTTGAATTCCAACTGCCATTCGTAATTTTATGTACAATTTATTCGGAATATTTCAACAATATGAAAAATATGGACCATATTGTATCGGATGACGTAACATAAAGTACCGCACACACGATATCCAAAGGAATCTAGAATGTACGACCGCCTGTCTATATAGACCCCTTTATTTTTGGGGCACTGTGTTTACTCTCCTCTTGAGGCATGGCTATATTCATTGTTGTTGGCACTGCGGCTTGGGGACAGCCATGCTTTAAATCCTCACTGCACTACTTATAGCAACTTGCACCTCTATATAGCAAACAACGCCTTATCGGTGCATGTTGGTCCCCCATGATTCCCTTTTTCTTATGTTAATTGAGAGTTTATTTGATGAGATAACCACCTGTCAGTGACCCTGCAGGGAGGTCTAATCCCCCTTGGCCAAACCAGTGCAGATGGGCTTAATAAATGGTTTAATAATCACAAGACTATTATCCTTGAAGTGCTGTCTATTCTTTAATGGTGACAGCGGTGGGATAGGGGCACATCTAAGTATGACATTTGGTCATTTGGTGTCCCACATGTTAACCTAGTAATATGGTATCATGAACATAGATTGACACGAGTATCATTTTATCTGATATACCATTTTGAGGGGTCAGTGACACAAAGACTTAACTCCATTTTGAGAAAAAGTGGTTTATGTGTCACTGAGCACTTGGGCCTTAAGGAGTTAAGTCTATGTTTCACTAGCCATTGACTTTAATGGGGAGTTGGGTGGAGTTAAGTCTTTGTGTTTCCTGGAAAGCCCAAATTTTCTGAACATAATTTTGATATCAAATACTCATTTTGGCAAAATATGGAGTTACGTCTTTGTGTCACTGAACCCTTGATATGATCAATGCTCTAGTAATAATAATAATAATACATTATATTTATATAGCGCTTATTACAATGTTTCTAAGTGCTTTACAATCATCAATCATCAACCATCAATCATCAGATATACTAGAATCGTAAATGTTGTATGGCACAAAATATGACAGGATTTGGTTTGATTGCTATGGATACCTCTTTGATTTGCTCGCGCACTCTATGGAATGCGTTGAGCCATCTCATGCGTGCGATGGTCATAGCAGGTACTAGGTCTCTTAACTCGTCCTCCTCTTCCAGCAGTTCCAGGTCCAGATCGTGGTCCCCCCGGTCCAGGAGCTCGTCCGACTGCTGTAAGCTCTCTGAGTACTGGTCAAGGGTCAGGTTGCTCCGACCGACCCTCGGTGATGAGTAGCGGCTACTTCCAGCGCTGAGGATAAACCAATAACAATAATGGACATTTGTTGTTTATAAAACCCAGGATAGCTGCATCTATACTGCTCTTCCTGAGGGCTCCACAATTTTTTAATTAAAATTGACAATGAATTTAATAGTGCATAAAATTGAGTAAGAATAGAAATTTTTGATTTCATTACAAAGAGCATTAAATTGCCTACTTTCCTGGATACAGCAGTTTGTTATACAGAACAGAGTTAGAGAGATGCAAGCATTTGTAAAGTAAGCATCTTGCGCCATTGGCTTTATCCTTCGGACAAGTAAAACCCATCTGCATAGAGTTATATGGACGATTGTGTACTCAAAATCTTGCGATCAATAACATGTGAAAATTACCTTACCCCATCTTCAACTAGTTCATTGTCCCTCAAACCTTCCAGTTTTACAAAATATTGTAGCAAAAAGATTGGACTGACAATATGCAGTAGATGGTAGACTCTGGCACGATTGTTGGAATGTATTCATTCCATATTTATAAATGCAAAAGACTATACCAGCATATTTAGCAAAACTGGATGCATGATTAAAATCAGCATCGACATTGAATAAGATCAATAGCAAACTGAATCCTTACAAACTGTTCAAATGCGTAAAAGGACAATGGTGAGAGGCCTTGCATTGTGATCATGTCATACATCTATTGTCAGGACAAAAAAAAGGTGACCCCCTCAAGAAAAAAACGACTATAATATGAACTAATCACTTTAGGTTTAAAATATGACTGTCATAAAAGAAAGAAAAGAGGTATTTTACTGGGCCCTTAACATAAAGATTTATGATCAATTGTATTTCCCTCATACCTTTCCTATAAGTAGCTCTTTATGATTATGTTACAGAGAGATACAATGCATAGTAATACACGATTAATTGGAGAAAGATTGAAGATTTTTATGACTGATTGCAAGTTGACTTACAAATGTATATATATATATATATAACAGGGCCCAGGACATATATTAAACTGGAAAGTAGTTTACAATAAAAGAATGAATTCAAAATAGAGAAGAGATGAAATACATGTACCTTCCTGTGTCCAGCGAGGGCCTACTCTCTCGTTCTAAACTATCTACATCTCTCTCGTCTCTGTGCAGATAACTCTCACTCCCGTGAGGACTGTAGGGGTAGGGCTCCATCTGCCGGTGCGTACTAGGTATGGTATTGCTTGTTTCTGATTCCACCTCGCTCTGTTCAGTCCTCGTCTCAAAACTTTCCCCCCTGTCCACATAGTTCCTGCCCTCGTCAAAGTTATACCCCTCAAAGTCGTCCGTTTGGCGGCCAAAGTTGGACCCCCTGTGGTCGTAGTCACTCTCCCGAAGGTTTCTGTACGGGTCCCGGCGGACCAGTTCAAACTCGCTGCTTCTGGCATCAAGGTCGCTATCGCGAGTTTCAAGGTCGTCACCGGTGTCTGGCGGACAGTAAATGTTTTCGTGCAATTCAAAGTCCCTCCCCTGCTCGGGTTCAAAGTCTTCTTCCGGTCTTGGATCTCGGTCAAACTCTCTACCCTGTCTTAGGTCAAAGTCACTGTCAAGTCGTGAATCAAACCCGCTGTTTCTTCGCGAATCAAATTTGCTTTCAAGTCCTAGATCAAACTCACCGTCTCTATGCATATCGTATTCAGTGTCCCTTGTTAGATCGTACTTGCTACCCTTTTTAGAATCTAGACCGCTACCTGGTACTAGGTTGCCTCTTCTGCTTTCATATTCACTTTCTGTCCTTAAATCGTAGTTGCTGCCTCTCAAAGGCTCAAGGTCTCCGTCCCTTCTTAAATCATAACTACTCCCTCTTCCCCCGGGTAAGGGTTCACGATCACCAATCCTTAGATCTTCACCTTTGCGCAAATCATAAGCTCCTTTGTCCTTGTCATACTCGATATCCTCACTACCCGGGTGTTCAAATTCACCGTCCGGCGGAACATACTCACGATCCGGCGCAACATACTCGCGATCCGGCGCAACATACTCGCGATCGGGGTGAACAAACTCCCTTTCCCTCCCTTCATACTCATCGCTGTAAACCTCGTGTGGAGAATCCTCCCGATGATACTTCCTATCATATTCCTCTTGTTCATATGACTCCATGGGTCTGTACCTCTGCTCGTCAGAGCTCTGTCCTTCTCGATATTCCTCCCGAAACTTATCGTAATCATCCAAATAGCCCCGTTGGTTTGGGCCAAATTCCGAATCGTATTCTCCGCTGTAATTGTCCTCGGGGTTTGTGAATTCACCTGTTGATCCATTGTACCTATGACACAACAAGACAAAGCATTCAAACATTGTATTTTTGTTGCAGGGTTGCTAGGAGGGTCTTATAAAATTGCGCAGTTCTTCTAAACCCGGACAGGCTTATTGCTTAGAGTAAGGTAATCATTGTAGCAAAGGACTGAGGATTTATAAAACATCTGAAGAATTTAGGATATCAGACTATTTGATATATTTGAGTGTCTGCTTGCTCTATGCAACAAAACTTTACATGGACGTGGCTCTCATAAAGTAAGGCCATAGAAGCAATCAGATTGGAAAGCATTCTGGCTAAAGAAATACAAGTATAAGTGAAATTTTGATCTCTGCAATCTTCCCTTTACAACAGCGAATGTCTTGGATACATATAACCTAATACGTACAAAAAACGCAAAAAAAACGTTATTCCTAAAAGTTGACAATTTGAAATAACTGGAAATAATGCATCTACAACATACTCATCACGATTGCATATCATACCAATTCAAGGCTTTATCATAATCATTTAAATCTTTTATATTTGGCATTCTCCTATTTTAAAGCATGATAGGGAAAGTCGACCAGAAAACTGTAAACTCCCCCATTGCATGGAATTCCAAAACTTCCGAAATGGTGAATTGACTCTTGGAGATAACTCTCTCAACGTGTTGCCAACTTAAGGATTTGATTGCTTATTTTCCTTTTTATATTTCCTGGCATATATAGTCATGACACAAAAATGGAGGCAGCACGTGCAGAAATGCTTGCCCTTTCTTATCATGCTCTAGCATATTGTCTTAGGACTTGATGCTGAATCAAAAGTTATTCAGCCAAAGAACAAAATGTAGAATGATTGGGTTAATTATTTAAGGAAGCCAGTAGGCCATGTGAATCTCTAAAGCTTCCTGAAAACCTCACCTGTGATCCATATTGCTACCTGGGTGATAGCCATTGTAGTATTCTCTTTCGGGGAAGTCCTGGTCTAAACGGTCGGCACTGCCGTCCGTGAAGTCGTCGCGGTCCTCGGGATAGAGTCGTCTTCTCTCGTCGTCCTCTATGAAGCGTCCTATCCGCTCTTCATCGGTGAGGTCATGGGGATAGTAAGGCTGGAAGGAAGGTTGAAAAATGGGGGAAAAGGTTAGAATCAGCGTGACGTCAAATATTAGAAGTCTTGAGAAGGAGATGGCACAGAGCAAACTTATGTGAACTGTTATGTAATTTAATGCTCAACTTCTGTCTCCCCACATTTAAATGAACATGTCTGTCTATCAATCACTCGTATTTGAGAACAGCACAACACGCTCCTGTGGAAATAGACTCAAGTTTTAAAATATTTGTGGCTCTTTAAGCTCATGTCGAGGGTTCAGTGACACAAAGACGTAAATCCATATTTTGCCAAAATGAGTACTTGATATCAAAATGTTCAGAAAAATGTGGGCTTTCCAGGAAACACAAAGACTTAACTCCACCCAACACCCCATCCTTCAGGTCCCAGGGTTCAGTGACACATAAATTACTTTTTCTCAAATGGCCAAAATGAAGTTACGTCTTTGTGTAACTGACCCATAGATGTATAATCCAAGCATTCTGAAACAATACACTGCTATGGGTAAAAATGGAAATAAATTACAAATCTACAGGAAAAAAATTGCAAGAAATTGACTGACCTGTTCCATGCCGGGGAAGCGGTCATCATTGAAATCATGGAAGCGTGAAGGGGGCGAGCCGTGGGAGGGTGAGTCTAACCTATCTGAGGAATGGTGGGCTGTACCACCGCTGTGTCGAGGGCTGCTATTGCTGACTGTGGGGGCGTTGACATCACTGGTGTAATCGCTGTCTTCGGACATCATACCAGCTACATAATAAAACAAAGACAAAAAAAAAAAAAAAAAATTTAAAAAGGCATAAGAGCTTAAATTCAGGTCCTCCCAAAGTACTGAATAATTGTAACCATTCCTTTGTAATAACATTCAAAAAAATAATCATTGGGAGGGGGGTATACAATTTTTTTTTTTGAGGGGGGGGGGGGTATAAACATTGAGGAGACACAATAGCTCAGTTGGTAAAGCAGTGGTCTTGTAATCCGGCAACCCAGGTAACCTGGTAAGGCATTTAATCAGGTGCATTTAATCCTCATTACCAGGTCTCTTGGAGAGGACCTAAAGCCATTGGTCCTCTGGTTGCTTACTAACAAGCATTGATGCTTTCTAAGCAGTCACGTAAAATAACCACTACTAAAACTTTGTTAAAATTGTTTGAGACACCAAGCTGACCTAAAAGAATGTCCCTCTCACTTGATGAAATCTACTTGATGAAGTTTGGCTATCTTCCCTTGAGAGCAATTTAGAAATTTATTGATTGCAATTCAGAAATGCACTAAGGAAACACAACTGCAGAAGAGACAAATTGTAGTTTTATCACAGAAAACAGTCAACTCAGAATACAGAATTGGGCACAATACTTTAATAGGCAAGGAAGATGATATGAAACGTTGATTAATAAAGGAAAGCACAGAGAATTGCCCATAAGTATGATGAAAGTGCTGATGAAAAATCTTGTTTTCTGACAAAATACATTGATGATAACTATGGTACATATAAAGCTGGAACAAAGAAAATTCTTAAGGACTTTTATAACTGAACTTGGAGAATTCAGGAACATACCACCTCTGCTTCCCTTGCATAATGCATGTACATTTAAAAATATATTTGTCCTATAGAGTACAGATTTCATACATTCACATTTCAATGGTTTCATTTGATCAAAGGTTATGTGTTCCGCTATCACATACCAAACTCTATCAGAGCTATCTTCAAATGAATTTTAGAAAAAAAATTAAAAACCTTCCACACAAAAAATTAAAAATCCTGAAGAATCACTTTCACTTGCCAGGAGGAATGACCACAGAATCAGACATGCGAGGCTCCATGTCAGATTGTTTATTTTCATTTGACACCAAGCGTCATCTGCATAAGATATGAACCACTTACCCCATAAAGGATTAATGACACTCAATACCCTTCCTTTTGTGGCATGACCTATTTAAAGTGACATGATATATCCAAATTATATTTTCCATTTTCCCGGCAAAAGAACACAAATAGTCGAGGAGTTGGAACTAAGATGCAAACATTACTTTAAATCCTGTTGCTCAGCATCACATCACACCCTCAAATGTCTGAAATTCATGTGATGTATGTTCAAGCAACCACTTGGAGTAGAACACCGCTTGCTGGTGCTGGTAATGGACAACGTTTATAATTGAAATGATCAATCATACATCAACTATGGATGGGAATCTAAAAGATTTACATGTCTTGAAGATTGAGGTGTGTATGCATCAATGCATGGCTCGATCTGAGCTGGAGGCTTGGTTTCTGCGTTTCAAAGAGCTGATGGAATTTCATAAGCTGCTCCTTAAGAATTACTTGACTGGTGGTGTTGGATTAGCTGGTATAGTTTATTTATCCACAAACATCCAGTGTCTGACTTCCCCAAAGAAGTGAACATGAATGAATGTAATAATCTTGGTTGATAATCACTTTAGAGGCTCCAAGGAGATGTTTCTGTCCAGTTGGAGAGCAATTTTGTTCGGACGATTACAGTTACTGTCATGACCAATTGCCGTCAATTCCAGATAGCTTTTCTCATAAAATGCACTTATTCTTTATGAAACAGACATCCACAGCCAGTTCCAATTTGTGTACAATCAAGGTTAGATGATACATACTGCACTCCGTCAGAGTCAGCTCTAAAAAGTTCCAAGAGAAATCGCAAAATTTGTTCCTGGGAAGTAAAAATCCTAGAAAAGAAGCATTTTCACTTGCAAGGAGAAGATGCCAGCTAGGATACCAGCCTCGTGAAACAGAAATAGGTCAATAAGATGACCTCACAAAAGGACAGGCGACACATTTCCAGCCAGACATAGTACATGTCAGTTGAAATATATCCATTTCCCTCCAAATATATTGGTTTCGAAAGCAGATGCAAGTACAGGCATTAATCCTCATCACCTAAAACCTTCGGTCCTCTGGTTGCTTTCTATCAAACAAGCATTTATGCTTTCTTAGCAGTCAGGTAAAATAACCACCACTGCAATGTACACATTTTTTCTGGAAATCTTGCTATTCTCAATAAAAAACCAATTCAACAATTGAATTGGACTGCAACAATTCTTAGTAGAAGAATCAAACGTTCCGATTCCAAGTCAATAAAACGTCATCTCCAATTAGTCCTTCCTGCTCTAGCAGTCTAATCTTCCTATAGATCTTCATTAAGCTCTACACACATGCCATGAGGCTTATACATAGCAGCTAGCTAGCATGTGATCGAGTAATATGAAAGCATCCAATTTGTGTTCTACCCACTTGCTGCTTGCATTGGTGGAGTGAACTCTTGCCGTGTTTATGGACGAGACTGCGTCATCCTCATTTACCTAAGAGCATCCAGTGAAAATAACGTCGGGCTAATTAACCCCAGCCTAAACCAAATGCTAAATATTCCAATCAATATATGTACCGCAGCTAGCTCAGGCAGACTATTCCCCCACCCCCTTTCACATGTGCGGATTAAGGGCCGTAATAGCCTGAAATTGCCTGAAATATATCTGTATGGTATTAGTGAGAATAAAATGATGGATTATTGCTTTAGTAAACAACCTGATCTTCCCTTCTCAAGTGCATATATTCAGACCTGCCAACCTCTAGAGTATAAAAACTGTATTCTTTTATCCCAGAAGTTGTATTTTACTGACAAAAGTTGTATTCTTAAAAATAAACACGGACTGTTACGCGGATGAAGGCCTCTTACAGTTCCTACATACAGGAAGAAATTTTTGTACGGATCATTGGTTGAATATGCATGATTTCGTCACGACTGTTGTGTTCGATGAACCATTAATGAACATCCCCAAACTGCAGATGTGAGATGCTTGTAGGATACTTTACATGATAGAATGTGCATTTTGCCATTGAAAATGGCACACACACACTCAAAATCCCCCAAATCTCCACCCCCCCCCCCCCCCCAAAAAAAAAAAAAAAAAAAAACTTTTTTCATTTTTTTAAAATCGTACTGAAGTATTTGCTTCTAAAAATCGTACAAAATACGACTAAATCGTACTGGTTGGCAGGTCTGTATATTATGAGCTATTATGGCATATTAATGGAATCTATCTTTATGGTATCTTTGAAAAGAGAAATGCATTTTGGCCAAAGCAACTATTCCATAGCTGCGTCCACATGCACGGATCAAGGGTCGTGGCAAAATTTGCATAAAACCTATCTGTATGGTATAAAATAAGCAACTCTATCTTCCCTTTTTATATGCATGGATTATAAAGCCATTATTGCATATTCATGAGGTCTATCTTTATGGTATCTTTGAAAAGAGAAATACACTGTGGCCCACGCAACCATTTCATTGGCGCTTTCACATGCATGGATTAAGGACCATAATGATATTTGCATGAGATCTATCTATGTAATATGATTGAAAAGAGAAATGGACTGTTGCTTTATAAGCAACTTTATCTTCAATGTCCACATGGAAGGATTATGAACCACTAAAGCATCAGCACGACATCTATCTTTACGTCATTGTTATGAGAAATGTAAAGAGGCTCAAAAGGTTTCATAATCCTCACATATTTCACTCTGTTATTTGTAGGTGTTCCATGATGCTACTTAAAATATGAGCAACAGATTATTAATTTTATATGTGTACATGAAACCCGAACACAACTGCTGTGTGCAGGGTTTACTTTTCAAGGTTGATTTCTTCTTCTTCTTCTGCTTGTAATCTTAAATGTGCCACACAGCCTATCCCAAAGATCTGTATGTAGATAACCAGTTGTGAATAATAATAATAATAATATTCAGTACTTGTATAGTGCATAATACGTTATGAAATAACATCTCTATGCGCTTTCAAAGGGCTTTGGAAATTATTAACCAAGCTAGCTCCGGCAGCCGTTATCAGCGCACAGTGCATTTCAAGGAATAATCCTACCAGGTACCCAATTACCTCACCTGGGTTGAGTGTGGCAAATGTAGATCAATGTCTTGCCAAAGGACATTAGTGCAGGCACTAAACACCCAGTTTACACCCTAGTCCTTGCGAGAAGTGTAGCATATCAACGTGCATAGGGTGCGACTCTCCTACACACGGGGCTTCCAGTTAATGTTCTCTCAGAGGACGGAGTGTTTTCAACAGAGTCAGGCGACGTTCCGATTGCGCCACACACCACCTCCCAAAACAAATTTAACACATTCTAGCTTTACACGAACTACTTTTGAGATGATTGGTACCTTATATGTAGTGCATATAAGCCATGTTAAAGTATGCAACAACAAAAAACACTCCGTCGGATTTCTCTCCGTAAGAGAAATATTCTTAATTACTTTTAGTCAATAATCAAACATGGTCAATGCGAATGTGAAAATTTGTACAATCATGATGTCATCATGGCACTGACTGATACAATATGCTTTTTCAAATCAATGAAAACAAGGTTATCACAAAACACTACATGCAACTGCACCATAAAACTCCAATTTGTTAGTTAATTTGATTGTATGTGAATGAGGAGCGGGAAAAAAACATTGAAGGTATTGGCTCAAGATCTTATCACTTGGAAAGATATTTGTTGCAGAAAGCCAAAGGGATTGGGTCACTGAACCTGTCATTGGATAGATTACCGTTGATGATCATAATGATAAGTGTCATGGTTTAGTGGTACATTCATTTGACTCTCGAACCAAGGATTGAGGGTTCAAATCCCAGCCCGGCACTTATGTTTTTTAGCAAGATACAAATACCACTTTCCACCCAAGTATAATGGAGTCCTGGCAATTGCTGAGGCAATAATAAATGCCGGTATTTCTATACTTTTCACCTTCTACGCATAGAAGAGCATAAGCTTAAATTTTGCATGCGAAAGGTGGCTTAGATGTACAACGTCATAATTCATGATGCTGTATTGATTTCCTAAAGATCCCAAACATACTGGGATATGGGGTAGGGGTCTCCTAAGCGAAGGGAACTCTTATATCCGCACTCAAACAAGTACACACACACACAGAGCAAATGCCAGCGTGGTGACGTAATCTAAAAGGGGTGAAGGAGGGGTTGAAAAGGGAAATTTCTATCATACCCTGGTCGATTATTTCTATCTGGGTATAGTTATACATTGCATATTATAATCATTATTATCAATATAATTATAATTACTGTTATTACAATTATCATTATTATTATTAGTACTACTACTGAACATTGGAAAAAATCTCTTTCCATATAATTGTAGTTGTCTTAATTAATCTAATAAATTTGAGTCATTTCCACTTTTAAAATCAGAATTGAATTTAAATCTAACTTTGTATGCATTGTAATAGATACATATGGTTGCTGTGCTTGTTTTTATAAAAAACAGAACTAGAACTGAAATCAATTTCAACCAATAGTAGCAAAACTCTAATGATACTAAATCTGTACAATGTAAATCTGTACTATTTCATAACCTTGCATTTAAAACAAAATGCAGGAGATTACTTCTTGTTTCTCTACCCCTCCCCTATTAAATAAATAAGCAATCAATTTCATTCTAACCCTCTTTCTGGTGAATGTTGCAAATCGTCGACGGGAGAAAGTGCGTCTAATAGCTTTCCCTGACATTTCAATGTGCAGTCAAGCGTAACAGACAAGATGTATGTACACTACAGCCCCCTGGTGTGCCCGTTATATACGGCAAACACGTACCTATGGAAGAAGACACTTCAGAGTGTACAAAGTACCCCCAAATATCCACAGATCTTATACACGTGGAGACGTCCCACTTCGTGCATTTTAGAAAAATCACTGTTGAAGTGATGGAGGTGCTTCATGAATACCTTTTGTTTGCCCTCTTGAAAAGAATACTGTCATCTGTGTATCTTAGATAATGTGCCACCAGTGCATAAATGAATAATGATCACGCAACTTTCGTGAACACGTATCCGGCAGTCGTCTCGATGGGTTTTACAGTTTTGTACAAATGGCCTTTATCTACCCATGCGCAGATTGTATCTCTCAAGTGGCTTTTTGAGCTCTGTTAAGTGCCAAGTTGAGAACTTGAATCACAAAAAGGGAATAATTTAGATTTGCAATTAGTCATAAATTTGTGACATATTACCAGAGATTTTTTGGAGTTTCTTCTGAGTCCAATCTTCGGCTGAGAGCAGTAGAAGCAGTGAACTAGAATTTTTTTTTCTCACCCTAATAGCTCTCAGAAAGTAACATGTCAGATAACTATTACATCATACTATATAGCTATGATGGGGTTCAGCTTATTAAACCCCATACACTAATTATCTTGCATGAAAACTGACTGAATTCCATAAAAGATACTACCCTTGAGGGGTAAATCTACCTTAGAGTAATTATCTCTCTCTCTCTCTCTCTCCCAAACACACTCTCTTTTCTCTCTCTTACTCTCTCTCTCTCTCTCTCTCTCTCATCTTATTTCCATGAATGACAGTGGCACGAACATCTTACACTACGACTCTTAATACAGAGATTTGCTTGATAAGACCTTGAATTAAAAAAGACAACAGCTTACAGATAACAAAAATTAAAAAAAAAACATAATATTAAAAAAAAGCTTAAGCACTCTACCAGCTGAAATATGAAAACAACATGGATACAATTTCATCATAATTTCTTTAAGACTTAGCATGCCATCAGTATCAGCAACACCTGCCCATCTCTCGCTCAGCGCTTGGTTTTTACAAAAGACCACAAACTTTATAAAGTACAAACCTGTCAAAAAGAGGGATTTTCCCGTGGAAACTCACTAAACCACTGCTAAGTAGTATTGATGTTGAACTACATATTTTGTATATAAATTTATGGTAGAGTGATGATATTTGTGCAGATTTCAATGATTCACATTTGCAAAATGTTGTGTGGAAGTTAAAAAGGATTTGTAGGAACACTGAACTGAAAAAATGATTGTGTGCAATACTATTCAAGAATTTAAAGGGAATGGGTGAAAATGTATATTGTGCCAGTGTTGATAGGTATGGTGAGGCACAAGAAAAAAAGGAAGTGTTCTGCAATTGGGCCAATGTGCCAAATAGGGGAATATAGAATGAGGGAGGGAGGGGGGGGGGGGGGGGGGGGTGGGGGACCCTCAATTTCAGACAAGTTTGCACACATCCTCCCTTGTGTATTAAGGTAGAGAGACACGATCAAGGGTGGGTGGTTCCTTATATGTGAATATATATGTACTTGTGTAATCTATTCCATAGGGGGGCAGAGGGGTATACAGGGGGGGGGGGGGGGGGCAGAGGGGTGTACAGGGGGGGGGGGCATCCTTATATGCAATCTGATAAAAAGGATTTGTGTCATCCATTTTGTAGAGGGGAAGGGAGTTACATGTACAAAAGAGGGGATGGAGTACCCTACATGTATATTACAAGTAGGTCCCTGCATCATCCATTTTGAAGAGGGGCTCGGGGGGGGGGGGGGATCCTTACTTGTGACTAGATACAAAGTGCCAGCGCCATTAAATTTAAGGATCAGATGAATACAAAAAAGAAGGAGGAAGGGGAGGGTTCTACATCGGAAACAAGGTGCATATGTCACCTGTTTTGTTGAGGTGCAGAGGGACAGAAGGGGCACAGAAAGAGGGTTGGGTCACCTTTCACTCGAGACAAGGTGCATATGCATTTCTTGAATGGGAGAACAGGGACACAGAAAATGTGGGATGGGGTACCCATAATACAAGAAATGTGGTGGCCGGGGGGGGGGGGAATGGGAGGGGCAAAATGTTGGAGAACTTACACTGAGCCGGTATAAGCTGGGCAGGTGGCTGCTGTCCTGAGCCGCTGGCATCTTGTTGGATAATGTCATGGATCATCCGCAGCTTGCGTTCATAAGCCACCGATTCTTCTTGCTCTGTCGTGAGAAGAAAAGCGAGAGGAATTGTTGAATGCTAGGACAGTATGCAAGAGATAAAGATAGTATTAAACAAGAAGTAAAATTGTTATCTTGATGATGGTTGAATATATTGAATGCCCCCATCTATGATGGGATTATATGCAGCTAGTCCGTTCTCCTGTTAAAGTAGAAATTGAGAGAAAGAAGAGTGAGAAGAGTTCCTGGTATGGTAAATAAAGAGTACAATGATCTTTGTAACAAAATGATACATCATACACTAAGGATTCGCAACAGCGCAACCTGTATTAAAAAATTGAAGTTATCTATTCTTGATTTTAAGAATGAAAATACTAATTGTGCAACTGGTGCACGTAAAAGCAGAGGCTATCTTTATTCTCCTGGTCCATAATAAACCAACTGTAAAGCAAATTAACTAAATACTTAGGAAATAATTTTTTCCCTTCATAAGTTCAACTAAATACTACGTAGTTTCAGACAAATCTATACAAAAGGACCGACAATTCATAGCAATTCACATAAGTGTTCATGCACATTAATTTTTAAATTACTCTCCAGAATCTTTACGATTTGCAAAATTATAATTCACTTTTCTATGGTTGTTGCAACTCACACTATTTTAGCTGTTAGAATATTTATGAGTAGTGGATAATGTATGATACATCAGATATCGGGATGCATGCAGCCGGCAGGTGCCGAAGAAGTCTAGATTTGGATCTCGGGCCAATGAGCAATAAATGGAGACTTGCGACGTCACGGACGGCAACCAACTGAGAAAGGAGAGCCGGGGTAATAATGAGGCCCTACGTACTCCACATGTACGTACAAATTATTGAGCCATGCAGCACTGAATGAATGGCATTGATATTAACGCAGAGGTTAATTGGCTGCAGCTCCGGAGTGCATGTGATATGCTACATAGCGTTTGGCGACCTTGACCTATATCACCTGTTCAGAGCCGTAAGGGCGTTGACACTGTATTACAGGATACGAGTGTCGACGTCCTTCTGGCTTCTGGCTTTTGATGTGGTAGAGTCTGCTTGAGACACATGGCATATGCATTAAGTCGTCAAAAATGGCAGCCTTACCGCAGACTGTATAATTTCTCACTTTTCTGTGGCAGATCTGCCACAGACTGTTCCTGTGGCATACTGGTATGCGGAAGTCTGTGGCAAAGCTTCTTTCTGCCGCATACTTCGGCATACTCATGGGTCTGCGGCAGATCTGCGGCACACTTTTTACTTTCCTATGGGTTAACGTTATCCCCCTACCTCACCGCCACTCTCGCAAAAAAGGCGATTTCAAAATTAAATTACATGTCACAATCTTAGCTGATAAACTCTGTTCTATAACATCAGCATTTGTAAAGTTTTCAATTATAGTGCCTTTTCTATATCTGTTTATCTTAAAAGGGATTGGGTATCTTAAATCGTCTCAGATTATAAAAATGAATCCCGGATTTAGCTCATGCTGCAATCATAAATATAAAAATTCAGGTCATGACTTTTACAAGCCGATAGCGGTTTTAATAATTATATGCTACAGTCTATTGGAGAAAATGAGTATGGTCAAACCGGTCACTCAAAGATTTTTACTTTTTTGAAGCACCTCACTGATCATTTTGAAGCCAATTTATTTTTAGGGCTTCAACAGACATTCTATAGAATGAAATGAAATGAAATGAATCCATATTAAATTTCAAGGCAAAAAAAGAATATCTTCCTGTTGTAGAATATCATATTTAACATTCAAATCCAGGTAGTTTATAAACCGCCTACACCAAACAAGCCAACGCAACAAGTTGATTATTAAAGAAGCTTATGCAGATAATGATGTCACTAATAATCATTCTGATGAAGAAGGGTGGATCACTAGACAAATGGAATCACAAAGAGCTGGAGAGCAATTAATTACATGGACTTCACTTCAAGCTTGATACAATAGAGTTCTCAAGTGGTTTTGACATTGTTGTCTGCAAAATAGATCCCAAGCAATTGTTTGAGTGACAGTAATTTCATCAATTACACTTAAAATGTGAATAGGCATTGTTGTTTGGTGTATGCAACTTCTGGGTGCCCTCTAATCATCAAGAGCCCATTATCAGTGTTAGAGTGCAATTATGGAAGGTTTACAAACACTGTTTAATACAACTAACCACCATTGCTATATACTTCAAGAGCATCGCACACATAGCATATATATATGCATGATTTAGATGTATTCCTCTAGTTGCTATTGCTTGGATGTAAAGGGAATTTGCAAGGGTTGCAACTAAGCACTGGTGAAATAAATGAATGCCTTAATGAAGCACTTCATGATCATTTTGAAGCACAATTTTTGTATGAGATGTTTTCCTATTTTGGGGGGATCTATAGTTGCTATTGCTTTGATGTAAAGGGAATTTGCAACGGTTGCAACTAAGCACGGGTGAAATAAATGAATGCCTTAATGAAGCACTTCATGATCATTTTAAAGCACAATTTGTGTAGGGCTTCAATATTAGTACACCATATAACAGACACTGATAACAGGTAAGGCTATGCATCTCAGATTCGTAAAGCTGGAGACATTGTTAAACAATGCTTTTAATAGAAAAGACATTCTATTCCATATTGAATTTTTCAAGGGGGGAAAAAAAAAAAATTTTGTCCTAGACCAACAGACAAACAGAAGAACAGCCTTTGGCTGAAGTTGGTGCCGTGCAAAAATAAAATAAACTGAACTGAGAATAGCATAGTTAACATTCAAATCCAGGCCCTTTATAAACCGCCTACACCAAACACGCCAACGCAACAAGTTGATCACCAAAGAAGATAATGCAGATAATGATGTTATTTATAATTATTCTGATGAAGGATGATGAATCACTAGACAAATCGAATCACAAAGAGCTGGAGAGTGATTAATTACATGGAGTTCACTACAATGGAGATAAGCGCCATGAGCACCGAAAGGTGGACCTGTGCGCTATACAAGTAGCCACTATTATTATTATTATTACTACAAGCTTGATACAAAACGGTATAGAGTTCTCAACAATTTCCAAAAGGTTAAAAAGTGTTGGATATTCTTATAAAATTGTCCTGTGGGTAAAAAATTGTCAGAGTAAATACAGACCTACTGTTAGTTCATGTTTGGTAGAAAGCAATAAATAGTCCATTTCAACCTCCTATTAGTGGCAAAATACTTATTTGTGGATTGTGAATCTTAAGTAGATGTGGACTCACTCTATGTGAAAGTTTCTTATTAGAATAATGTGTCAGCATCACAATGTATACAATTGTGTCATTAAAGCCCCACTGCACTACTTGCGCCCTCTATATAGCAAACAATGCCTAATCGCTGGCCATTGGTCCCACATGGTCCCCCTTTTCTTATTTTAAATAAGAGCCGATTCGATGAGATAACCACCTGTCAGTGACGGTGCAGGGAGGTTTAATCCCTCCTGGCCAAACTAGTGCAGAGGGGCTTTAAGAAAACCATGAATGTATGCATACAAAATTAAACTGTAGCATGTGTAAAAAATCATCCTACACGTGAAGAAGTGTAATGATGTACACATAGTCATTAGTGTTATCATGAGATAATAATAATAATAATATTTACCACTTTTATAGCACAAATGCGCAATTCCTGTCCAAAGAAATATCAGTGCGCTTTACAAAAATTACGTAATTGTGTAGATTATGTAGATGAGAACCCGTTCTAGGGCACAACGCAATAACCTTCAACGATCTCAGCAATGCTTTTTTCATTCAATACAATGATTCTACCTCTTGCAACTTCTCACTCGTGCACTCTAAACCAAGCATTATGTGTGCAATTCTAAATATGATGGTTCAATTGTATGAACAACATACCTGAGGCAAAAATGACCACAATATATCATATGATGTATTATGATTGTATGATCCATTTGTATGAAATACATACCCATGGCAAAAGTGACCACAATGCATGATATGATGTATCATAATCATATGGTCCAATTGTATAAATAATAAACAGAGGGTAAAAATGACTACATCATATAACTCCCTTGTAACTAGACATACCAACAGAAAGATAACGTCTGTGAGAAGTACAGCATGTCCCACATGCACTACCCTTAGAGAGAAGTCCAGCCGTGTTTTTAGAGAGGTATAATTTTATTCCAAATAATCCAATGTTTACCTGTAGCTTTGAAAATCGGCAGGGCAGCAGAGAGCATGGTTTCCCTCGACCACACCAATTACCCTCCCTGGTACTATGCCCTAACCCTTAATCATCACCCACGAGGGAGCTACAGTACCAATGGCAGTCACTTCGTCAGCGAGGCCTGCATAAATCACTGTCGAAGGGAAAACCGGAGTCATGACCCTTTAGAAGAGGTGATATTAGCCCAGGAAACTCATGTTTCAACACACCGTTTACCTGCTAAGTGCTTCAGTCATGGGAGGAGGAGAGGAGGAGAGGAGGGGGGAGGAGGAGAGGAGGGGGAGGAGGAGAGGAGGGGGAGGAGGAGAGGAGGGGGAGGAGAGGAGGAGAGGGGAGGAGAGGGGAGAAGGAGAGGGGAGAAGGAGAGGGGAGAAGGAGAAGGAGAGGGGAGAAGGAGAGGGGAGTAGGGGAGCAGGAGAGGGGAGGAGGAGAGGGGAGGAGGAGAGGGGAGGAGGGGGGATAGGGGTGTCATACATGTAGTTGTACTAAACAGTGGTTGGTCTGAATGAGGGTTGATGAATCCCAATGTGTCTGTAGATTGGAATTTTAAAAATTGCACTCTGCTTATTGTCTTCTTGCAAGGATGACATGCGTCGATCCTTTCACGTCTACACTAAAATATGTCATCGTCAGTATACAGCCAGAAGGGCATGAAATTCTTTACTTCAGAATAAGAAGATACAAAGAAGCTGAACGTCCCCCTCCCCCCTATTTTTTTCTTGCTCGTGAAAAAAATGTTTGACTTGTGCCCCAGAGAATCCTGGATCTGTCAGTCGTTTATAATTTGTCTATATCATATTTTTGTTCTGTCAAAAGAAAAGTAAAAATCTTGACCAAAATTCATGATCACTCTTTC